ATATTGGATTTTTAATAGATTTTTAAATTTGTCATTTACATTTTTCATTTTAAAAATAACTGGGAACTTTATTTACATATGAAAATTAATGTTTAATTTTTTCTTTTAATTTAATTCATATTATCTTTAGGCTTCTTTCAAATATAAATAAAATTTAAGTTTAAAGGAGGCATTTAAATAGATTATAGGTAACTCCAAAGATTTTCTAGAAAATGAACATACATGATGCAAAAATGCCCCAAACTTAATTGTAATGACAAAAGTATGCAAGTGTAGGCTTTAAGAAAGCTTTATTCATTTGAGAATACTGTGACATAGAGAGAGAGAGAGAGACCCTACCACTCCGAGGTGGATTTAGTAATCAACAGTGCTAAAGAATTAGGATGAAGGTGCTAATTACTTGGGTAGAAGGGATTCCGGAGTAATTCCAGAAATAAGTTTCTTTTTCCTTGTTTTTTTTCTCTTAATAATTGTTTCTGGGTTTGAGTTATAAGTTAATTAAATGTAATAATTCCAGAGTGATTAAGAGACGGATTCGTTAAAGTAAAGTTTGTGATAAATGGCGAATTGGACTTTTGGGTGGTCTGAATGGCGGAATTCAACCAGACGGGATAAGTGGTTTTGGCAAAACTTAAGTAGACGTTGTCTGCGGAAGACCCAGCAGGAGGTCCGAATCCGATTTTAGTATCTCTTGAAAATTGGGTTCCCACTGAGTTTCGGGGACCGGAAAAGCTTACATGGTGGTTAAAGGCGAGTTGCATATTAAAATTCGGGGGCGGTGCCTAAAGATGGTTTAACTCCGCCTCTCTCTATATAAGCTGCCCGCACGCTTGAGTTAATCAGATCGGAGAGAACACGGACGGAGATCGGAACGCGGAAGAGACGGCTTCTTGAAATTTGCTGGTCTGGTCTGTTGGTTGTCCTGCGCCAAGAAGACCGATCCGAACCAAGAGATAGAAATAGAACCCGTACGAACCCAGATAACTTCGTCAACAAAGCTGTGAGAAAGCAGACTGCTATATCGTAGGGTGCAGACGAAGATCCACAAATTACTTCCCTTAGATCAGCCGAAATTGTTTAGGCAGATATTTTCCTACTCTCTCTCTCTATCACTTCCGACCCCAAACGAGTGAACCTCGTTATGACATTTTGTACGAGTGTAAATTCTTCGGTAGTGACATAAAAACAGTGACCTAAAAAGGGCTCTTTGTACAAGAACCGAAAGAGTTGCTTATTGTTTCTTTTTCATGTTTTTGCGGCTACGACAAGAAACTTTTTCTGCATGAATAGTGATTTCCTTTCAGCGTAATACCCAGCCATTTAATTCATCCTACCTCCTGATCGTTCTGAGGGATTGAAATACTGCTGTTCGAATCAAAAATTCACAACGTGGCGGATAGTGGTGGTTCCTTCAGTTCACCGGGGGAGGACCAGGTGGTTTACTTTTCGGCCAGAACCACCGGAGATACAGGACAGAGCTGCAACAGGCAGGGTTTATTACGTTAGAATACAAGGTTCGCGTATAGTGTCTTTTTATAGTGCCAGTAAACAGAAATAGCTCTCTGAAAGAGGAGATTAACAGACAAAGGGAGACTACTCTTGATTATTCAAAACCTTAATAAAAAAACAAAGTTTTAGCATCAAAATATTTATTAATAAGAAAGACCAAAAGATGATCAGTTCTAACTTGGGGTCTCAACTCCAGTCACTTTGTGGAATCTTCCACATTAGCCTTCCACCCCTTTCGGAAAGATGTATTCTTCCCTAAAAAAAAAAGCCTTAACCAATCGCCACTTGGAGTAAATTCAATCTTCTATTGGTTAAGAAACACTAAACTGTAGCAAAGTTGAAGCACATCCTTTTTCCCGCTGAAACTCCCTGAAGCTGATTTTTAGACACGAAATTCTATATAAACAGCCGCATGACTCACTTCAAGTCAGTCAGTCATGAAGTTTCGTGAGATGCTACCAAACTCCACGCATGTCAATACACTGACTCAACATCACTTCAAAATTATCAACAAACTCAACACAGCACTCAATTGACCATTGTCCGTGTGGTAATCACATTACAATTGACTTAAAAAGTGAACATTTTCACTACACAAACAGTAATTGTACAATTCATCAATGTAACCAAACAATTAAAGGCACACAACTCTTCACAACTTAAATTCTAACTAACAAGTAACACACGCATACACACTAATATTTGAACGAACACATTTGAGATTTTCCTTGCAGAAACCAAATTATTTTAATTTCACTTATAAATCAAAACCATGTTGCAGACCCGGCAGCGTGCAGTGCTGGTTTATTACGAAGTGGCCTTGTGCCAGACACCACACTAGACTACCGAGTCTACAAGCAAAGTAAAAAAAGATAAAAATATGCGTGAATGAACAGTGAGAGGAAAGGGGTCAATCAACAAGTGCATAAAATAAAATATATTAAGATAGCCGGCACAGAATGACAGAAAAAGACTGGAGTAATTTTTTAATTTTATTAAATGCAGGAAAAACAAGTAACTTATCCCGTGGTACGAGATTAATGAAAAGTTCCGCGCCAAAATAGGAATACAAGATGGCTAAGGCGGGAAAAAGAGTTTTATAAGGCTCTGGGAAAAGGAAACTCGTTAGACACGAGGTGTATGTGCGCACAGATAGAAAGGAGTACTCACTGTGGACTTTTTTTGGCGTTGTAAGTGAGGTTATGCATATTTTTAAGGTACTGGTTCAGAGTCCAATGATTTGAGAGTGTATGTGATTTTGTGTTTTAGGTTCAAAGTAGGGACTCAGAGTTCGGTCATGGTCTTGTGGAGTTGTCTACGGCGAGCCCAGGGAGATGAAAAAGGTTTGTTCGAAGGTAATATTATCCCTGTCTGTATTTACTGGTTCACTGACGAGGGGTAAGTGTAAGTCACCTGTTGAATACGAAGTTTCTGCCGACGACTGTGTCGTGTGTCTCTAACGTCTTCTGGTCGAAAACGGAGGTCTGACCTGCGATTAGCAAGTTGTTCGTCAGTAGGATATCCCTGTCTGTATTTACTGGTTCACTGACGAGGGATAAAAATAAGCCATTAGTTGAATACGAAGTTTCTGCTCACGACCGTGTCGTGTGTCTCTAACGTCTTCTGGTCGAAAACGGAGAAGGTCTGACCTGCGGGCAGCTTCAAGACGAGAAGAAGTCTTGGTAAAGTGTGAGGTCGCCATTGTTGAAATAAGATATTCCGGCCCGCATATGGGTTAAGGGCACGGAATAAATGAGTTGTCCGTCTAGCCAGGTTGAAGATCAGGAAGCAACTGGTTGCAAACGCTGGCCGTTTTGAAACGCCGAAAAACGCCCGGGAAAAAATTCAAAATCTATTGTGAGTTCATCAGTAGGAGCTAGCGAGGTTACTGCTATGTCTAGCTGTGAGTGGAAGGTAGGGGTGAAAACCGCGCGCACACACGCACGAGTGTGAAAGGAAGGGAGGAAACTCGCGCGCGCGTAAAATATAAATGGAATTAATGTGTTAATTCCATAACCATTAACTTTTATTGACCAAATTTCTGCGTGAACATTCTTCATAACCTTGTCTCAATTGCCACAATCAACAAACATTCTGTTATCCTTGCATGTATATCTATTGTATATATAAAAATCTCTTTATTGTTGGATCTCTAACCACTGTGTCTTTAGTAATTTCTTGCAATACAAATTGTCCTTATATTCTTTATTTGATCTACGTGTTGTAGGATAATGCATAATAAGCACGCATAACCTTTGCCTTTACATAAATTACCTTCTAATACATTTTCACTCAGCTACAACCTGCAACAACTTTCTCACTTATATAATGTGGTTTCCCTCTGTCTTTTCTGTAAATATTTTCATGGCATCTGCTCTGACGAGCCATTTTCACTGGTACCCTAAATGCAAGAATTTAAGCGTATTACTAGACTTTTTTTTTTACAATTATGTTCCCTTTACTTAAAAATGCCAAACATTCAGTTGTCAATATATATCAACACCTCATGCAAACACCTCCCTTTGCGATATTTTAAGCTAAAAAAGTGATATTTGTTTTAATTCAGATTAATTCATCTTTAAATCAGTTAATCTTCCTCAAAAGTATTTAGCAATGAGACTCATGTTCTGTTATGTTGACAGATTTGTCAATATAGCTGATGTTTTTTTAGTGATTTAAAAAATAATAATCATTAATCTGCATTGCAATTGCATTGGGAAATATTAACTACGAGCTATGAAAGCTAAAATAAAAGCTTCAAGGAAGAATTTTTCATTTTCAGAACGAATTTTAAGCTGTAGATATTGCTTTTTGGTTGGTGTACGTAATTATTAAAAATATGTTTTTCGGTGCGAAAAGTCCGCGGAAATACTAAGAGAAGGGTGTGGGGAAGGTAGAAGAAGCAAAAGCAAACAACCAAAATTGTCAGTTTCACAGGAAACCCTTTCGTTACAACCTTTATTTATGTTATTGTTGTGTTAGTTTTAGTGCCAGATAACGGTAGGAGGTCATTTAAGCAGTGTTCCGGTTGTTACACGAAATTGCCGACCAAATCCATGGAACAGATTTTTATTTGACTATAAAAAGTATCCTAATTGATATGGCTATTGTATTTTCAAGATATTGTTTTATTTCGTTATAAAATATTTTCTCTTCTTCCTCGCGATGAATTCGTCCAAATGAGCCTCGCTAGAACAGAACCTCATAAACAGTTAGCTTCCAGTCTACTGGTCTTACTGCTGAGTTACAGTCAACAGGAAGTAATGCCGGTGTACAAAAGCGGAAGTTAATAGTCACGTACTTCCTGTATGGATGTCAACAAGTAACGGCGACGCATTGAATCTGATTAAATATTTTATTTTTCCCTATTCAGTATGAAATCAGAAAGACCAATATTTTTGCTACTGCTCTTATTACTCGCAATAATTTCAACCGACAGCAAACATTATTATTTGCGCGTGAGTTCACATGAACAAGGACAAGTGACAAGCATGCGACATTTTTGGCGGAGTACGGGGTTTTGGTAAATATTGTGATTTTTTTTCCCCCCCTGTTTTTATTCCTAACAGATTTCCAAAATCTTTGAGTTAAAAACTGGTGGATAATTTATTAACTTCTCAAATTCTATAATTAAAAGCAAAAAATACTAAGTTTTAGAAATAAAAAAATATCACCCATAAAGCGCATTGATAAAAGGAAGACAGAAGAGAGAAAATAAAAAAATTCTAATAAAAATACAATCTAAGTAACTTATGATTTTTTTATGTAATAAATAAATGTGAACATTACAACGTGATGTTTTGTTATTTTTCTAATGGGAAGGTTTCGTCTTGGACGACTCGAATCCCGTTTACCGGGTACACTTAAAAGAAATGACGAATTTGCACGCTTATTAAGTTACTTTTTTAATGAAAGAACAGAATTAAATTTCCTATGGTGGAGCTCGTTAGGGTCATTAAATTTAATTTGTTTCACGTAAAAAATAAGTTGATAATAATTCAGTTATTTTGGTAAAATAGAAAAAAATCGCTATCGCACTCATAAACGACTGATTTATCTCCCTTACATTGCCCTTAAGTTTTTGTATGAGACTCATCTTCTGAGCTGTGTAAATTATTCAAAGCAACTGTAATTAAAATTTTAAAGAGATTTTTATCTTTTATATAATTGGCCCAATATGACCAATGTTAATTTTTTTAATATCACAAATGACCATGTCACGTTTTGCTTAAACTGTTTTTTTGCTAATAAACTTTGTGTTCTGTTGTTAGAAATATTCTCCTTTCAAATATTTTATTAGAATAATTGGTAATTTTTTACCCTTAAACCAGTCTTCCTTATATTCCTAATGTGCATGTTCAATTTCGCCCTCACTTCAGTCACAAGACAATTGACTACTTAACATATGGATGTAATAGTAAAATAATACCAAATGTTTTATCAACTAAAATAAAGAGGCTAATCCTTCAAATTTTTAATTATTTCAATGACATTTAATTTGCAGTCCTTCAAAACCTCATTCTGAAAGCTTCAAGTATGACACTGGACCAGACATGATACAAAACCTTGCGTATATTGGTGCCATTCCTTTCTCAGGAATACAACAAGTGCGTATTCATTGGTTGCTGGACCTTGTGCAAGTTAAGGAATGGTGAGTTGTGATATTTATTGTCTTATAGAAATGTCACTTAATCTAAATATCACTGATAATGCAAATCAAATAAGTCCAGCCACACTGTGGAGCAACATTTGGTTAGCAAGTTAGTCTTGCAGATAAGTGATACTGTATTTACTTCAATCCTTACTGAGCACCCTACTTTTTTGTGGTACTAAGATGGGTCAATATGAACTTTACCAGGATTTTTATTCAATAAGCAATGATATCTGGGAGCCTTAAACCTAGTACCTGTACTTTTCTAATTAATCTTCTCAAATGAACCTGTATCTATGCTAGGCTTACTGGGGGGATTATTTGAGACTAGTTTATGTCCCAGTAATTTTGATTGACTTATTTTGTATGTTTCTTGACATGGGGGTCTGGAAACAGTTTTGCTCCTTTAGTTTCAGAAATTCTGCCAGAATACTACAGTTTTGTTCATCATTCTTCATAGGATAATTGCAACTGATATAAATTTCACTTTATAAATTCAGGAATTTAAAACCTATTTATGAGTTTTTGTGGCTTGATCGACTTGTGGATCAGCTTCATGTGAATGGATTGTTTCCTGGATTTGAACTTATGGGAACCCTGAATAATTTCTTCAATGACTTTGAGAACAGAACACAGTTAATTCTTTGGAAAGATCTTGTGAAACAAATTGCAGAAAGATACCTCAGTAAGTATCCTTTGTAAAATATTTAGACTTACAAATAAATGCTTTATATCCGTAACATCTTCATTTTTTACAGGAAAGTACCTCTCTAAGAAAGTTTTTTTTTTTTTTTTTTTTTATAGTACTGTTGATTAAGCTCTCCAAATCACAATTATGCCAAAAAAAAAAAAGGAATTACTGTTTTTAAATCTTCTAAATTTTAAAGGCCCCCTCCTGCCATTAAAATTTATTTCATGATGTAAAGTCATTGAAAAAAAGAACACTTATGCAAGCAAAAATGTTCATGCCACAAAATAATATTCTTTCTTACAAAATTTCAAATAATTTTAAGTGAAAATAAAGAAAAGTTAATATTTATGTTATTTAAAGCATATTCTAACCTTTTCCTGTATTTTGTTAAAACTAGAATTTATATAATTCTAGTTTTAAATATTCTCACAGTATTTAGTATTGAAGTTATCACTAATATTTTTTTGTCTAGATTTACAAACTCTATATTTCGTTCAATTTTGCAAACCATTGAAATTTGAATAAGCTGATTTGTTTGGAAAATACTTTTACAAAACCCTTATTTCACAGTTTAATAATTTCTTTAATTTTATTTTATAAAACTTCATGGTAAACAATATTTTTTAAGAAAACTTCTTTTTTTCATTTTTTAACAGTGAAGAATAAATTCTTAGGATTTCTTACCCTTGAGCATGTGACATACAACTGGCCATGTGTAAATATTTTTTTCTGGAGCCAAATTTCAACTTTTTGACGCATTTGGCCTTGTGATTTGTTTATAGTTCTTGCAAATGTAGGGTGAAATAGAAACTGGATTCTTATATATATATATATATATATATATATATATATATATATATATATATATAAATAATTATTTATTTAAAAATATGATTCCAACTTTTAATTGACATAAGAGGTCTCATGTTTCAAAACAAGAGTCGAAAACTTCAATATAATTATTTGAATTAAAGTAAGCTCTGTTCCATCTTCAAGCGAAATTTTTTTTTGAATTTCTGAAATTTACATGTTTTAATAGTATATTCATAATTGAAATCAAAATTTCCATGGTAACAGCCAGGGCGAATTGTTTAAAATAGGTAGGGGTGTGTTGGGTGTTAATAATACGTATCAGTATAGAGTTACTTTCATAGATGTCAGGGTAAGGTGGGGGTGTCTAAATTTGAAACGGAAGATGTTTTCGCCTAGTCTGGTTTATGTGTCTATGGAGATTTATTTATTTTTTTTATTTTATTTCTTTATGAAAGGGATTTGTGCATATAAAAACTGCCGTAACATTTGTTTTTAGACGACTTCATAAAGGGTTATCTTTTTTTGTAGGGTATTTAAACTATTTATTTGGGCTATGGATTATAAAAGTTATTATATTGTATGCTTGTTTTTAGCTAATTATTCAGTGCATAAATTTGATGATGTCGGCAAAAAAACGTTAACTCTAAATATAAATATATGCAAAAAATATTATATTTTTATTAAGTAAATATTTGTTATTTTAATCATTAAATTATTTTTAAAATAGAGTAATTGTATGTTAAATAATAAAAAAATAAAAAAAAAAATAGAATGACCGAAAATTTGTAATAATCTATGCATCCTAGTAAAACCAACAGTACTTTGTAGCCTCTTACCTGTTTGCACTTCTCCTAAAAATTTGGTTTTGATTGGTCAATGTATCTCTATTTTAGAGGGTGTTATGGATGGACTAATAGATGTCACAGAATTTTATATATAGGTAAGGGCTACATACCAAATTTCAAATAACTTGTAGTTGAAATAAAAAAAATAATAGTTATATTGTTTAAAGTCTAGAAGGAAATTACTGGAAAGTAATTGAAACTCACCTGAAGCGAGCTGAATGTGTAATGCCCCTCATGCCAATGACACTTCCACTGAGCTTCTCTATGGCATATGACTTCACTGAATTTTGATGTATTCCTCTCAAATTTATATTTAAACTGGGGTCATCAGGAGAGAATGTGCACCGTTTCGGGGCCTTCCTCTCAACGGTTTCAGTTGCACACCGGCCCCCCTCACTGATGTGAGGCCCCATTATAACGATATACAATTGTTGTAGATAAACTAGTTCAAATGTGAACTAGTTTATCTACAACACTTAAACATTGTTTAAAGTCTATTCTTACTTACCTTTTCCTTCTTTTGTGTTAAAATATTTCTTGCATGTAAAGTTACAGATAATTTCAAAATAGCCATGAAATATGAATTTAAATCCTATTCTTACTCCCCTCTATTATTTTCATTCCCTTACTTATCTTGTGTAGCAGAATCAATTTACATTGCAAACTGCTCCCCCCCCACACCTTAACATTCAGAAAAATAAAAAAGAATTATACATATTTGTATTTTGGAGAGTTTAATTGATAGCAATATGAAAAAGAAGAAAGAAGAAACTAATTATTTCTTAGAGAGGTGCATTTCTGTAGAAATGCTATCTTTATGATAACATGGATCTGGGATGACTGTTGTAATGGCACCATATGTTTAGAAGTAAATACAACTAAATCACAAGATTGTGGAATTAGATTTGTTTCCTTATTGCTGTTTCTCACTAAGAAAAATGAATATTCAACAGATCAGTAACTGATGTTTCTACAATTATCACAAAAAATAGTTTCACCCCACAAGTCTACAATAGTGTACTGAAAAGTTCTCAGCATAACCATAAAGTGATTGGAAAAAAAAAAATTGGTCAAATTTGGGGGAAGTGCAGTAGGCTGAAAACTTTTCAGCACCCATTTCTATAATTAATACTGAAATAGGGTTTAGGAGAAATAACAAAAAGACAAAATTTAATAAGAGCCAGAAAGGACAGGAAATTGTTGAGATCCATGACTGACCTCTTCCTGAAGGGACACAATATAAGGAAGTTGTAATACTGTGAAAGACACTAAAGTTCAAAAAATATTTCAAGATGTCATACAGGCAATATAGAGTTATCTACCTTAAGTTATGAAAACTGTAATGAATTCTGTTGCCTTGTTATGTGATGTTTAGTGAGGTGTTCTCTTGGATTATGACTAGAGTGTTCAATGTCCAATACTTGTGGCAAAGCTAAGTTACATTTAGTAAATAAGTGTAATAAAATGAGTCAAAATTTATATGTAACTTTTACAAAATTCCCTTAATGCCAATAGCCAGATAAAGGTAGCGATAAAAGTATAAAAGATTTTTCAAATCCTAAAACCTGGGCAATTTGGAGAGCTTGAATAGTCTGGATATAAAGTTTGTTTCTTTGGAATGAGGTACACGTTTTTATTCTGCATGTAATATTGTCATATTTATATTTCCACATTTTAATTGTATAGATTGTATCTTAAATATGTTCAGAGATAAATTAATCAGATTGAAGAAACTTTCATTATCTATAGTACAATCTATATTGAAACTAGTGTGTGTGAATCTATCTCTTTCTCCCCCCACTCTCTCTCTCTCTCCCGTGTGTGTATGCATATATATATATATATAGACAGACAGACAAGTTTGATTAAAAAAACGTCTGACAAAATATAATCACAGTTAAGTTTTTTTTTGTTTTTTTTCTCGTGTTCTTATAATTTTCTGTTCTGGTCGTAAATTATATAGAAATTGTATAAATGTTTGTTTGTTTGAATGCTTTCTGCAATACTTTTAACCATTATTAAGGACGATTTTATTTTTACTTTTAACTGAATGTATGGATTGTTTTATGTATGTGTCTAGTGTTAGAGGAGTGTTTTATTTTCCAAGCATGTAATAAAAGGCTAAAAATAATAGAAGCATTATTAATAAAAAAAGAAAAAGCCAACACTCAAAAATATCGACTATGAACATGGCCACAATGTGCTGTGTTTGGAAAATAAAATATTCCTATACATACATAAACCAAACAACTTTGATCTTCAAAAATATAAATGCAAGGTCAATCCTCACCTTTTGTCTTAGTTCCTATTTTTTATTGTTCTCTTTTTTCCTATTTTTTATTGTTCTCTTTTTTCCTATTTTTTATTGTTCTCTTTTTCCTATTTTTATTGTTCTCTTTTTCCTATTTTTTATTGTTCTCTTTTTTCCTATTTTTTATTGTTCTCTTTTTTCCTATTTTTTATTGTTCTCTTTTTTCCTATTTTTTATTGTTCTCTTTTTTCCTATTTTTTATTGTTCTCTTTTTTCCTATTTTTTATTGTTCTCTTTTTTCCTATTTTTTATTGTTCTCTTTACTTTATGATGTTTTCTTTTTCTTTGATTCTTTCTCCTGTTGCATCTGTCCATTTTTGCCAAAAATAGATATGACCACTTCTAGTTTTCAGCTCTCAGTATTTGCTACAAAATTAATTGGATTCAGAAGCAGAATGATAAAATTAGAAATGTATCTTCTCAGTAATTTGAATCTGATGATCAGTTTTTGTTTTTATCAGATTCTGGAATTTAATCTTCTATCTGTAACTTCTTTGTATCTTTTATGTTTGTCTATATTTTATATATTTATGACTTTCAAAGAGAAATATGGACTCCATTATGTGCAGCAGTGGAATTTTGAGACTTGGAATGAACCTGATTGCCACGATTTTGATACTGTCAATATGACCATTACAGGTAAGTGTAAAAAGAAATGGGATGTACAAAGTTAATTTTGTTGTACTATTTCTTATCTTTTCTCCTTTGTTTGTTTATTTTGTAAATTATTTCATCTCGAGTTAGGCAGGAATGCCACTAGCATGCAGGGGGGTTACATGAATGAAAGTGAAAAATGGTTGCTGATGACATTAGGTTTATAATACCCAGAAATTCATTCACAGATGTCCTCAAGAACACATGGCACAGTAGATAAAGAGGTTAGTTCAATACCCAGTTAAGGCAGAGGGGAATTAACAGATAACTGACATCCATTATCTGAACAGTCTACCCCAGTGAGCGAAATAAATGGTTCAGTTCGACATTCCAACCACCTGAAGAAGGCCGGAGCATACAATGGCCGAAACGTAATAAATATGGGGACAAAGATGAGGACAATAGTCCAAATAATGTAAGTAGTGTACATAATACCTCATCTCAGGATATATAGAACTATAGTTGGGGCAAAAAATGAAAAAAAAAAAAATAAGAGCACTTACCATGAAAATATATGTTGAAACGACAGAGGAAAACCATGTGACTGAAGTTGAGATGTTTGGTCAGGATTGATTACATTATCATTCTTCGGATTTTGTGAAGAATTTCAAGATTTAGTAGGGTAAATGGTGGATTTGTAAATATGCAAGATGAATTCTGACCCAACTTTTGATGTAGACACTTCATTCAGTGGAAAAAATAAGGCCAAGTGTGTTTCTCTCTGGGAGTCAAGCATCAGCCATGTTAATGACAGGCAGAAAAGGTTGTCTATGGTTGTTAAATGAAAGCATTTTTGTTTTGGAGGCATTAAAATTTACAAGCCATTTCTTGCCCGAGTTAACCTCTGATTGGAAGTCCTTTTCACTTTATTCCTTTTTTTTTTTTTTTTTTTTTTTTTTTTTCAGGGCTTCTGTAACAGACATCCTTTTTATGTTGCAAATTCTCTGTTCATTTATTTTACAAGAAAATCTGTATTTCTGTCATCAATTTGAATTGCTCATTTTAGTTTACTTTTGACTTCTCCTAAGTCAGCAAATAAGGTTTTATTTTTAAGGATTTTTAAAGTGAGAGAAAAACACCCAACTGGAAATTATAAGAGTGGATCATTATTGTTGCTTTATCAATGCATATTGTATATTTAAAAAAAATCATTTGGAGTTCATTATTAATAGTTATCATAGATCAAATCTCTTAACACATGTTGACAGGCTTCAAATGCTAGTACTGAGAACAAAATCTTGTTTGCTTGCTATTTTGGTCTGAGGTCTTTCTTTAATCAAAATTCCTGTATTACCTCAACACGCACACAATTGTGTATTTGGGCAGCAATACCTCTTTTATATATGTTTCATTGAAGATGACTGATAAAGCACTGTGATAAAGATTTTTATTAACATTTTTTATTACAGTTTTCACATAATGTGTGTAAAACCTGTGTAAAGGTTCTAATCCATTTGCTATTATCAGAGATATTTCAAACTGAATATGTAGATTTTTTTTTTAACTTCTGAACATGGTCAGCACATTTTGGCTGTGTTCATAGTTGATACTATTGAGAGTTGGCTTATTTTTTATTATTTTATTATAATAATAATAAAGCCAACTCCACTTCAGTTAATTATTTTACTGTATTTTTGTATGTGAACAAGATATTTCTTATCTGTCTATATCTCTGAGATGAGATTATGATTATTTACATTATTTGGACTGTTATCCCTATCTTCATTGCCATATTCACAATGTTTTGGCCATTGTACACTGTGGACTTCTTCAGGTGACTGGAATTTCGAACTGAACTCTTTATTTCGTTTACCGGGGTTGATTATTCTAGTTCCTCATGCCACGCCTCTTCCAGATGTCTCAGTTATTTCCTTTAACTCGACTCTCCAAGTCTTTTTGGTTCACCATTGCTGTAGCCTGGTATCGAAATCACAACTCTTTGGGTCTAGTCACTGGATCTTACCAACACCTTTATAATGGATAAATGTGAATATGGCATTGAAGATGAGGATAACAGTTTGATTAATGTAAATATTTCTTCTTTGAACTTAGTGTGCATAGCAAATATTTCAATGATTGTTCATTCGAAATGCTTTTGGCTAATCTGTTAGTCATTTTCAAAGATATTGGTTGTGCTTAAATGTTGTATTAGTGTATAAAAGTACAATCAAAATACTTAGAATGAAGAAACATTTGACAATTTCTACGCATACTAAATTCAGAAAAAGAAATCTCTTGTTCATAGTCAAGAAAACTACAAATGTGTAGTGTTTACATCACTTTGTCTGCCAGGATGCTCACTGGGTATTGTATCCAGGACTATAAAAAGCAAGGTAAATAAACCTACTCTTTCTCTTTTTGTTCCAAGATGTAGCAGTGACAACAACTGGACTCTTCCCCTCTGGGGAGATGCTCCCTGGCAAGCTAACTTTTTATTTCATCCGACTATGTGTTGCATGCACACACACACACACACACACACACACTGCACTAAAGAACATAAATGTTTTTCTTTCCTTTTTCAAGCTATTTGTACACATGTAAAATTTTTTTCTTGTATTTTGTGAGCTATGCTGTTCTTTATATATATGTATATTTTTATTATATCAAATGTTATTTTTAGTGAATACTCATATTTGAGTAGACATTTTAAATGATATTTATTTTGCCTACTGGCCTACATACTCAAGAACATCAACTAAAAAAATGACATTTGAAGTAATAAAAAATATGTTGGCTTAAAAATAAAATCTGTTAACTCTTTAGAAATTGCTTAGTTTATGTTTCAGGTATGAAACTGAAAAGATATGTTTTTCTGGATGAGTGACTACTCAAATATGGGCGTCCACTAAAAATAACATTTGAAGTAATAAAAATTTCTTTTGAAAAATGTTGAATTCCTTTCTTTTGAAAAATGTTGAATTCCTTTCTTTTGAAAAATGTTGAATTCCTTTCTTTTGAAAAATGTTGAATTAATTTCCAGTCTGTTGAAAGTCTTCCTCTGTTGTCCTGGTCTTTAAGAACTATGTAACCCCTCTGACCCATCCAACTACTGTCCCATCAGTCTCCTACCACTCTTTGGCAAAGTCTTTGAGGCCTTAATCAATGCTGAACTAGTTAAGCATCTCACCTCCCATGATCTACTCTCTGACAAACAATATGGTTTCCGCTTTGCCTGGTCTGCTACTGATGTGCTTACAGACATCTGAATATGTATACCAAGCTTTTGATAATAATGGCGAAGCTTGAGCTGTTATTCTAGATATATTGAAGGTGTTTGACAGGGATATGGTGTTACGGGGCAATTATTCGATTTAATCCAACCATTCCTGTCTAATTGTGAAATGAAAGTTGTCCTGAACAGTTTCTCTTCCATTTCCTTCCATACAAATGCTGGCTTTCCTCAAGGCTTTATCCTTGGTCTTACACTGTTCCTAATCTTCATCAATGATCTTCCTGATGTCATCATGTCATCAGTTCTCAAGTAGTCATCTATGCAGATGACATTACCATTTACTCCTGTCTCAATAGTAAATCTGGCATTGCTGATAAAGTTAACTTAGCCATTGGTCTCAAAAAACGACCTCCAATCTGTGGTTGACTGGGGCAGGAAATGGCTTGGGAATTTTAATGCATCCAAAATAAAACTGCTGTCATTTATTCACCATAAAGAAATGTGCCTGCCTCCTATCACCATGGTTGATTCTCAACTCCACAAGAGCGTCTCTCTGCACCTTCTTGGTGTCATGTTTTCCACACTAAGGTGGAACAAGTACATTGAATTAATAGCTGCATCTACTCCAAGGAAAGTTGGTTCTCTGTGTCGTACCAGAAGGTTTTTCTTATCTGAGTCCATCCTTTCATCTACAAATCTGCCATTCATCCATGCATGGAATACTGCCATATATGGTCTTGTCTCCACTGTTCATCTTGTGGTTCTTGACAAAATCCAAAGACTGATATGCAATGTGATCGGTCTGAATTGGGGTCTTGACTCCAGTCACTTTCTCACCGATCTAATGTGACTTCCCTCTGTCTTTTCTATAAATATTTTCATGGCATCTACTCTGACATGCTATTTTCACTGGTGCCCCAACTGCATGAATTTAAGTGTGCTACTAAATTGGCATCCAGTCCTACTCTTTCACTGTTGAAACATTTAAATGTAACTGCCTCTTCTACTTCAACAGCTTCTTCTCTCGCACTTCACGACTGTGGAACTCCCTTCCTCTTACTTGCTTCCCTGATAATTGTAATCTTCAAAAATTTAAATGTAATGTCAATTGACATCTTCTGATGCCTTGATTCCTGTTCTTCTTTTTATCCTTTCCACAATATCCCCCCCCTATATCCAGCCTTTTCCCTTACTTACACTCTCTGTAGCCCCTTGTATACTAGTGGTACTTCCACCTTGCTTGGGATGAAATGCTTAAAAAAAATTTACTCTGACAGTCTCATCCTCATCAGCAACAAGTTGTTACTCCTTCCACTACAAACTGCTGACCAACAGTAACCACATCCATTCCATCACCATCATGTAGCATCTTTTTGTCACACATGTATTAGAGAGCGATGTTGCCCAAATTCTAAAGTAACATATACATTCTCAGTATAATGTTTTCCACTGACATGGAGTGGAACGATAATATCCAATTGATTGATAGGACTGCTTGGAAATATATATATATATATATATATATATATATATATATATATATATATATATATATATATATATATATTTGTATTTTGTATATAACCACAAAGTACCTAACATAATACCTTATATCTGAAGGCATTCAATTAAGGTACCTTAAATGTGCTAAGGTAAAAAAAGAAATTGTAACTTGCCATTGAATAATAACATTTTTTGTGAGGGGTTATGCTACATTTGAAAAACAGATAACTACTAAATTCTAATTATCAAATATTATCCCTTATTTATCATTGTATGCAAATGCATATAAATTACATGTGTAAACAGTGTAATTGTTATTTACATTCAGACTAATGTCATAGTCTTTGTTGTTGTTATTATTACAACTTTTTAATTACCAGCCTTCTTCAGATGTCTGTTGATCTGAGTAACACTCAGCAAATTTTGATCTGAACTCTTTATTTAATTTACAGGGGTAGATCGTTTTAGTCCTTCAGTACTGGTTAGTTATTGCTTGCCCTGTTTACACTGAGTTAAAGTTTGCACCATTCAGCCCCGAGATTAAATTCACAATTACTATATAACCAAATATACTTTAAGTATAATTAGGCTTAGTCCTATGGGACTAAATAATCACAAGATGAGATATCCCTAGACAATGAGAACGGTCCAACACATAGAATAAAAAAAAAAAAGAGTTTAGTTTGAAATTCTCTGAAGGTTACTTGGATTGACAGACACCTGAAGAAAAGATGGCATAATGGCTAAAAAGTTGTAACAATAACAACTTGTATGGGGACAATAGTCTGCCTGTAAATAATGATAACTCCTCATTGCAGAAATTCATACATAAATTAGCTTTCAGTCAAATGCATCCTTTTCATAACCTTTCCATCAAGTTGGTTCAGTCAAATTACTTATTTTTATTGCTTCTGAAGATTTATCGTTAAGTAAATTGTGCTTGAATGTGTTTTTCTGAAGGGTTCCTTGGATTACATTCCTGAAAAAAAATGTTATTCATGATAAACATTCAGTAAATTTGGTAGCAGTTGACAGTATGGGTTATCTCACTTGGCTTTGCCAAAATGCCTGTTAGCGGGGAACTCTATTAATATTATCTCTATCTCTCTCTTTTTAACTCTTGCTTTTAGATGTAGTCTGTCGATAAAAATGCTGACGACAGGGCACATTTGCTTGCTTGGTCCTCTGTTGACTTTTGAACTCTTACACACACATACTTACACACACACACACACACACACACAAAAAACAAGACCACTATTATAGCTTATTTAATGTTTTATCCTTTCATTACAATTGTGTACACGTAATTCCTTTTGTTAATAACATACTTGTATATAAGTATAAATTGTTGTTGGGGTTATATTCATTGTGTCTTTTTTATTTTTACTTGGACTCACACAAGTTCACCAATATTGTTTGTGGGATAAATGTTCCAGAAGCCCATAAATATTTAATATAGAATGTCTATACACATCACAATCAAAGAGGTGATATTTATAATGTAAAGGTGACATGTTTCCATCCAAACATAATATTATCCTGCAACAACAGTATAGTTTTTAAAAAGAGAAAACACGATGTAAAATGAAAAATATCTGTTGAATGAAGTCTCCATAGTTAAAAATGTAGTTACTATCATGGTTCTCCTTTTTCTTTTGTGATAACAGAGATGAAGACATTAGTTTGAATGTAAATAATGATAACTCCTCATCCCAGAAATTCAGAAAGAAAAGGGTGTAATGGTTATTGACAAAAAAAAATGGAACTGCCATGCTGAATTCAAATTTAAACTTAGTCTGTTCTCTTGGAATTTTAGGGATTAACTATTCCAATAATTAAATGTGTAAGATTTCTTATGGGAACATTTTATAGCACATGGAATAATGTGGGGGGGATGAAAAGAGAACATACACAGAATAACAGACCAATTGATTTGCAATGCAAAGATAACATTTATTAAAACAAAATTAGCAAATGGAAAGACTAAAACACAAGTTTCTTTTGTTAGACATAAATTGTATACACAATGAAATGTTCATTAATATGTTATAGCGGGAGCTTTGTTGGTGTGTTTTATGTGAAGCATTTGCAGCTCTTGTAGCTTCAATGTGGAAAGTTCATGTCAGCAGTTCGAAAGAGAGAAATCCTGGAAAGAGAGAGTTGCTTTAGGGTTCACATGTTTTTATGTTCGAGAGCTGCTGCTGCTAAGTTTGTTTAGAGCTGCTACTATCTTTAATGTCACTACAGTTACTAATAAACATTGGAAAAGATATGAATCTATCTTACAACCAGTTATGAGTTAAATAACAGAACAGACTGGACTCTCTTGCTTTGGACTGCAGTCAGTCTTGAAGGGAAATTCTGAATTTAAACCATTGAAGTGTAGTGTATTCATCACAACTGATCCTCCACCAGCCATCCTAGACTTAAATTTACTGCTGGATTCTTGAGAGTATGTGGGGAGGATAGGTTGGAAAAGTGCAATTCTTTACGTGGTTAAATTTAACTTGCATGCACAAACTCTTCTTTCTTGAAGGGAACCATCATCTTTTGGGATGCATAGTGTATATAAATAAATAAAAAGATCTGTATGGAAAAATAGCTCCCTTTTTACACATAATACATAGAATGTAACATAATCTGTGAGGGAGAATATTCAATGATAATCTTTTATAGTAATTTTCATTCAAATGGCAGTCCAGTGAGTCACAAGACTATTATGTACATATTATATTTGTACAAGATTATTATGTACATACATTGAAGAAATATGAGCAAGTGACCAAACATTTTTTTTTTTTTTTTTTTTTTGTGCTCCTAGAATTTTTTTTATACACAAGTTAACCTGGAAAAATGACCCCAATTCTTACTAATAACTTCTGATGTCATTAAAAATTTACTTCACTTTTTGTTGGTGGTATTTATTTAAATTTTTCAGAAGCATCACTGTGTTTTTGAATTTATTTGAAGAAAGATGACTGACATTATATTAAAAGTTTTTCTGTTTTTTTTTTCCTTGCAGGTTTCTTAAATTATTATGATGCTTGTTCAGAAGGATTAAAAATGGCCCATAACTCTCTGAAGTTTGGTGGCCCTGGCGATGGCTGTTATTACAAGAAACATCACCATGGACATAAGAAATTTGCACATGCTCTCCTCAGTCACGTGATTAATGGCACCAATTATTTCACTGGAGAAAAAGGTGTTCGCATTGACTTCCTGTCTTGGCATTTGAAGGTCAGTATCCTTCTTTATTTCTTTTTTCTTTTCAGCTCTAAAAATGTATCTCACAAAAGAGACTCCCAAATAATTTTGTCTGCTCAATTTATCACAGAAGGCTTGGGTCAACCAGGCACTTTCCAAAGGTGCTGAATGCTGAGATCATCTCCCCAGGTTTATAACATCCCCCATAGTCGGATTCAAACCTGGTTTTAACCACTTGGCCACATGCCCAAGAGGAAATAACCTGATGAAAAATTAACATTCGAAATTTTAAGTTTTCACTGAACTTGAATGTCAACCTTTGCGTTATTGGTGAGAAATATACAACTATCTCGCCGTCCACATAAATCCCAGAAGTATTTACAAAGTTTGGTGTAGTTTGATAGGAGTCCTCATATGTAAATACAAACTGAAACTCACTCCAGTTGTAACAGCCTGTGCCACACTAGTGAGGTACTTTTCAACATTTTTTATATATTAAGTTGTGTTTTTACTAGGAATACTAACTTCACATTTTTATGAAAACATTTATTCTAACATGTTAAGTTTTATTTTATTTTTTTTTAATCATTTCATCACAAGCAAGGCAACAAAGGTACTAAGACACAGGGGGTTACCAAGTGTGTAAGAATATAATGATTGATATTACATTTAAATTTTTGAAGATCAAACTTTACTTGGAAGCAAGAAGGCGGAAAAGAGTTCCACAAGCAAGAAATGTGAGAAAAGAAACTCTTAGCAGAAAACTTATTGTTACATCCAGCCAATTCCACTGTATAATGATGAGATCTTACTGCCAATCTAGTACTGTGCTTAAATTCTTTGTCTAGGTAACATAGAAGAATATTAACAGCAGAACATAAAAAAGTTATTCATTAATATTTGCCTAGATATGAAAACAGATGTTCTTGCGTCAAAATATTTTGTTGCCAATATGAACAGTTTAGACTATTATTATTCACCTTTCATTTCTTAATGAATATTTTCTAGTACCATTTAGATATTTACCAATATACACTCATTTGTCACTTTATTCGGTATACAATTCTAGTACTGGGTTGGATGCCATTTTGCTTTTAGAACCACCTCACTTCTTAGCATAGATCTGACAATGTACTAGAAGCACTCTTTTGAAATTTGCATCCATACTGAAATTATGCTCTATGGTATAGAGATCTGGTGACTATAGAGACTACTTTAATATGGAAAATCTTCCTCTATTTTTAATTTGTAACATGCTGTGTTGCTAGAAGTAACCCCCATAGGATGGATGTAATATAGTCATAAATTGAAGCACAGTCAGTTACAATACCTTGGTAGGCTGTGTAATTTAAATGATCTTTTATTGGTACCAAGGGTCCCAATGTATACTTATTTCATCACCACTACCAAGAACCATTGATACAGGGCAGTATGAGTCTATACTTTAATGTTTACACCAAATTCTGACCGTACCATCTGAATGTTGCAGCAGAAATTGACTCATTAGACCAGGGAAAATTTTTCCAATCTTTTGTCTAATTTTTGTAATCCTTAGTGAATTAAAACTTCAGTTTCTTGTTCTTATCAAACAGGAGTGGAACCGAGCATGACCTGCTGTTGCTGTAGCTCATCTGCTGCAAGGTTCAATGTGTTGTGTGTTCAGCGATACTCTTATGTAACATTGCCAAGAGCAGTCATCTGTGCTACTGTTGCCCTTCTATCAGCTTGAACTAAGCTGATCATTCTCCTCTGACCACTTTCATCAACAAGTGATTTTTGCTTACAGAATTACAACTCACTGAATTTTCTTTTTCTTTTTGTGATGATTCTCTGTAAACCCTAGACATGGTTGCACATGAAAATCTTTGTAGATCAGCAGCTTTTAAAATACTTGGACTCACCTATCTGACACTAATGAAAATGCCATGTTTCAATTCACTTAAATTGTCTTTCTTTTCCCATATTCCCTGAATTGAAATTCAGCAGGAAGCTATAATCATCTTTAAATGCCTATCTCCATTAAATTGCTGCTATTTTATTGAGTGACTCGATATTTGCATAAATGAGCAGTTGGTCACATGTGCTTAAATAATGATGCAGATTATTGATTGCTTTGGTCATAGATGACAAATCCTATCAACCAATATATTAAGCTTAGATCTATAATCATATCTGATAAACACTGTAAAACCCAAGTTAATGCCTGATGAGAAATGATTTGTGGCAAAATCCCAAAGTCATAAAATGCATACCCAACCAAATGCAGTGCTTTCTGTTTCATTAATATAAGTCCTGGGTATGATGATAAACTATATCTGGCAGCAAGACCTCTGATCAGGAAGTTTTGAAGAGCGTGGAAGCACCTTTTAATTGCTGTTGTTCCCAGGTTCCTGGATGGTAGCACCTGTTAGGGTCTGAGCTATGGGCAAATAGTTAACCCCAAAACTGGGGTCAAAACACTATGAAAGTGTAAAAATAGGTTTTTATAGTAAAAATACCAACAATACTTTTTGAAAAAAAAATATTACCAGCAATAAAAACCTTGTCAGCATTAATTTTTGTTTAAACTTACAAATAGTTTGGTTTGTTTTACTACATATCATCCTCAATGGTTTATTTAATGCTGACAAGATTTTTATTGCTGGTAATATTTTTTTCAAAAATGTATTGCTGGTAATAATTTTTTTCTTCAAAAATTTATTGATGGTAATAATCTTTTACAAAAATGGTATTAAAACCTTTTTTTTCATTTTCATTGTGTTTTGACCCCAGTTTGGGGGTCAACTATTTGCCCATAGCTGGAACCCTAACAGGTGCTACCACTCTGGGTCAAGGTGGACCGGGGAACACCAGCAATTGGTTGGTTCCACGCTCCTCAAAACCTCCTAATCAGAGGCCTTGCTGTTGGATGTAGTTTATCCTCTTACCTAGGACACACTTACAAATGTTACTTGAATCTATTTAGCACTATATTCCCAATTTGTCAGTGTTGATACTGTACTTAGAAGAGTGCAAAACAAAAGCACCTTTTGAATTTCTTGGATGAAGTTGTGTGAATTATTAATTCTTGATTAGTTTTTCTTTTGCAGTGATAGAAAAAAAATAAAAAGTTTGCTATTTCAAAACAAAAAAAATAAATATAAAAAAAATAGAAAACTAAAAGTTGGCAAACCATTTTGCTTTGCCATAAAGAAAAAAATAACGCAAATAAAATGACAAGAAAAAGAAATAAATGAAAGAGGTCAAAAGGTCATCATTCCTAAATGTAGGTGAAGAAAAGGGTGTGGTCAAATGAGTTGCACATGTGAACCAATCAGAGACAATTCTGAAGTGTATTCCTGTGTCTAAAAAAAAAAGGATAAACCCAGAAATGACTAGGCAAGATAAATCACTGGGTGTTGAAAGGATTACTACGGTGGAGTCATTGATAGAGGCTTGGATTGAGGAATCAGAGCCATGCTTGAATTCCAGTCGAATCCATTACATTCACTTATGTGCTAATACCCTTGGGAAAGGTATGAATCCTCTTCTTCTCCCACCAGCTATGGGTAAATAGCAGGACAGACTGGGTTCTATAGCCTTGGATGGCAACTGGTCTACTGCAGAAAGAAGTGGCAACCTACTGCAGGGAAAAAATCTGCCTTGTCAGTTATGTGTTGAAAGTTACATGATCTAAGCATGTATCATACATGGCACGTAACTGAACTATCAACTCAATACTTACTTACTTACTTACATACATACACATTTACAAGGACAAGGACTTGTCTCTCTATTATATGCTAAAGGACCCTTTCTCTCTCTCTCTCCTCTTTCTCTCTCTCTCTCCTCTTTCTCTCTCTCTCTCCTCTTTCTCTCTCTCTCTCTCCTCTTTCTCTCTCTCTCTCTCCTCTTTCTCTCTCTCTCTCCTCTTTCTCTCTCTCTCTCCTATGCTAAAGGACTCTCTTTTCTCTATTATATGCTATAGATGTTCAACACAAGAATTTCTGATCTCTTTAAATATTGTATATTTTATTTTAAGAGATATAAAATTTTATCAGTACATGCAAAATATATCTTTGTACTAATTATGTTTGCATGCATTTTAAAAAGGTCAAAAATTGGTGTATCTTTGGATTAAGAACGTTATCCGAAGATAACCACCTGTAAACACATAACCCCCACATAAACTCCACACTTTCATATAAATTTCTGCTGCTTTTCTTTGCAACTCTCAGATAATCTCATTGGAAGCTTTATTTCTCTGTCCGCCTGTATGACATTATTATGCTGAGGATGCCATGGACCGAACATGTGAGTTTTTAGAGAAAAACAGGAACAAAAAGGAAACTTAACAATGGGAAGAGATATTTGAGGTTTCTAGGGCATATAAAAAAAGGGGTTTAATAAAAATACAAAATTTATTAAGAGCTATGAAGGACAGGAAATTGCAGAGAGCCATGATCGCCTATGTCCTGAAGGGACATGGCACATAAAAATTTACTATTAGTTGTTGAATAACAATCTTGGAATTGGCAATTGAAAAATACTATAAAAAAAATAACTGAAAACACTCCGTCTAATAAGTTTAACTAATATTATAATTATACGACTAAGATGCGTAAAAATGATAGCATTGTATCAAGTATTAAGAAAAATAAAGAAAAACTATTTGATTAAATTTGAATCACTGTGACTGAGCAGTTTTTGTCGTTTAATTTATAAAGCAGCTGCTATTCTTTGAAATCCACACAGTTTACTCTTAATCATAGAATAGCAATCTGGAAATTGCTATAGGAAACAACTGAAATTAAGATAAAAGAAATACTAGATAAGAATTGTTGTCCTCAAGCCCCTCCCTGGTTGTCCAAGATGTCCAATACCTGCTGCTGATTCAATAAGCGATTGTTTTGATCCAGGCCTTGCTTTATTCCATGTTGATCATAAGGTAGGCCAAAATCAAATTGTCATCAAGTATCTTCATATTGGGCTGGTCTGAGCAGGGTGAAAACGCAAAGAAAGAAAAAATATAACACTCAAATAAAAAAAATAAATATTTTTTCTATCGTCTTTCATACAACAGTTTATTAATTGTTGTTAAAGTCTAGGAGTTCACATGCAGATGATTATTGAGCCAACCCACTTCTAAGTCAGATGTAACACTTTGTTGACTTGGTAGAGTTTATTTTGCCGACTTTGTGAAGTTTGGCACAAGGCTGGTGTCGGAGGTTCTCATTGGTAGGCAGTCACATAGGGTGTCTTACGTCCGGTGGCTAGAACGATCTCTGTCTTCTCACCTTATAGCATTCATATTTATTGACACTTACCCAAAACTGGTTTGGGGGTGAGATGCAGTGGGGGTATTCAGTACTTTGTCTTCCTGTCACAAAGAACCCTTTCTCCATTGTCTGGGTTCTGAGAAAATTAATTACTTCCCAATTTTGAAGTCTCTCCCTTTCCTCGGGTGACTGTCACAGGCATCAATCTGCCCCACAATTTCTTCCTTCTCTTCTTAGTATCTCCCATTAACACTCCCCAGTGGGCATGGATAGCGCCTCCATCTTTCTCAGTGTTTCATCTGTGCCCACTACCTCGGGCACCCTCCGACCAATTTCAAGTGTCTGTCAAAGATTAATTCCAAGTTTGTTAATTAAAAAGAATTATCATTCCACACTTGTTGTCTGTGCAGAAAAATTTCTCACATCAACTTTGTATTTCCTTGTCCAAACTTGAACACAAACCAGAATGCTTTCTTCTCCATCTGGTCTCATCATTCTCAAAAAAAACAAAAAAAACTTATCTTCAAATTATGTTTTTAAATCTTATCTGATTATCTCAACTTCTGGTTTCACTGCTAGTACTCATAATGGCAGTCATCTATCAAGTGTCAAAATTATCTAGCATATGGCCAGTCATAAAATTGAGTGTTGTTTTTTAGCTAGCCATTTGGTTCTTGGCTTTTGAGAAAATAACAATCTTTAATCTTTCCATGATGTACTATTGGTATATTGTTCCTTCTATCTAAAAAAACAAAAAAAAATTCACTTATTTACCAATAACAAATAGTGTCACATAATAAGAGTCATTCAATTCTAATATATTGATATTTCAGTTTTCTTATTTGGCTAAAGATTAGATAGTGGTATGTATTCCAGCATGACTCATGAATTTGAGAGACAAGCAATCTTGTCTAAATGGATGGCTGAACAGGGAATGAGGAAGACAAACATTTGTAAAAGATACAATGGATAGTAAGTTGTGAAGAGCCATGATCATCCACATCCTGAAAGGAACATGGCATACAGAAGATATATGACTGTTATTATATTTTTGACTTTATCTTTATATGGTGGATTGTTTCTTATCTTTGTTGATTGAATTAATTTATTTTCACAGCATTTTGACTGTTTTGTAGGGTGAAGGCAAAGCAAGGCATATACTTGATCTTGAACAGCAACTGGCAGCTGAAATCCATCTAAAATATCCTGCTCTTCAATCCAAACCCTTCTATAATGAGTAAGTACATCTGGCTTAGGCTCTGTTTGATTCTTTTCACTGGACATCATAAATACTTTGTAGGTATTAACTATGACTAAACAATTTCACTTAATCTTGTTGTCACAGAATTGCTTCATCTTGTTACTCTTGCTATAGATGAGAGCTCCATTCATTATTTCTGATCTACACTCTTTACTAATGGCTGGAGACTGGTAGGCTGAGTAGTTTCAGTGATGAAGTAAGATGAAAGGAAATCTTAGTAAATAATGAATAGTTGTTAGTTTTTTTTTTTTTTTTTTTGTTTTTTTGTTTTTTTATTCTTAATCTAAAGAATGGTTTTTCAACTTGGTCAGTTAAGTGCCATATGTGATACATGCTTGGGTGATCATGTCCCTTTTGATTCATGACTGACTAGGCAGGAGATTTTCTTGCAGTAGGTTGCCATTTCTGTTGTAGCATACCTACGGATGATAATAGGTATACCCCCATTCCAATAAATACAGTAGTGAATACTGTATGTGTTAGTCTGCAGTTACAGATTCATTGTGGAATTCACTTGACTCACTTCTAGCAGTTGACTATTACTTCTACGCACTGCTGGTGAATCTTATGTGTTGTTCTTGTCCTAAGTATTATCATTCATTACCAGCCTTCATATGATTATTCTATTCAGTAACCTTTCCTAGGTTACAACAACTTCTTTCTGAGACAGACTAATTGCCAACCAAGGCTATAGGACTTAGTTTGTCTTGCTATTCAACCTATAGCTGGAGGGAACAGAGATGGATTCAGACCTTTCCTAAGAATATTTGCGCATAAGTAATTGTAATGAACCCAACTGGAAACTTATTGGAATTCAGTTACTATTCTGAAATTCTGTCACTGCTTATATTCTGCAACACCATTTTGAAAAGTGTCTTCACAATATAAGAGAATCTAATAATTAATCAGATTGTGTGTTTTTTTTTTTTCTTCCCTGTTTATTTTAGTGAAGCCGATCCTTTGGTTGGTTGGAGCAAACCCCGGAGTTGGCGAGCAGATGTTAACTATGCTTCTTTAGTGGTCAAGGCAAGTGTATCTTTCCCTGATGTTGATCAATGTACACTTAGGTAATTATACAGGGTGAGACAAAAGTCATACACCATAGGGTTTAATGGATAGATTGAAGAGGATTTTTTTTGTGAGGCCATTTGAAATCGGTTGTTTATCAGATGTGCCCAAAAAATATTGAGGAACTTAAAGAAAGAATTAAATATGAATGCAGTAAAATCACAGAGTAAACTTTTCAATGTGTTAATGAATCATGCAGGCACAGAATTAAAATGTTTTGAAAAAAAAGAGGACATTTTGAACAGCATATATAATTAAATAACTAGTAAATAAAATTTTCATGTGTCATTATACTTTTAATAAATTATCCCTATGGTGTGTGACTTTTCCCTCACCCTACATAATTAAGCCTCGGAGGAAGGATACAGATCTTCTATTTTGATACAGTGAAATTGTGAATGTCTCTATTTTCCCTAAAATCATTTCTACTTATGCTGAAATATTAACACAATCATTACAATTACTAATTTTAACCCATTAGTGACCATAGTCCCATTTTGGGGTCAGTGGGCATTAATTATAGGTATTAATACTAGACATTTTAAAAACTTATAATGAATATTGGATTTTTGCTTTTATAATAAATGTGTGATTTTACAGGAGGCTTTAATGGGTTCAAACAAATGAATACAGGTATTTAGAGCAAATTATCTGTCCCCCACCTGTAAACAGATTGATAAAACACTAAGACAGTGGTATGGTGCTAGCCAGCCATGTTTGAACTGGTCACTTTATTTTTAGAGAAGAGTTCTAAAAGGGAGACAAATCATGACATCCCTCTTTCCATCTGGAGTTTTGCATAATGTCTGGCTATAAGTTGTTTTTGCTGGGGGGAGTGGGGGCTATGTCTGTTGGTGCTGACTGGTAGGTGACTGACTTCTGGGCTGATATTGGAGATGACCTTCTGGGCTGATATTGGAGATGGAGGGGAGCTGGAGAGATTCTCAGTTGGCTAACTGCAGTGTTTTGGCTGTGATATAATTTTTGTGTTGATTGCCTTTGGTATAGGCGGTTTGCTATTTCATCTTTCCTTGCCTGATGGTTTGTGCATTTGACTGGTGTATTGCTGGCAAGTTTTCGATTGTATAAAAGCTTACCTAGTGAAGGAATAGTCATTTATCAGTGTAGCTCTGGCATAGCAAAACCATATTGACAGCAGTTGCACTGGGCTGGTTTCTTCATGGCAGACTTCAAAGATTGTATGCACCACTCTGCCATCCCATTTGATAGTGGGTACCTCGGAGACAATGTGTGGTATTCAAACTTCCACTCTTTCACAAACTGTTGGAACAGGTTGGAGCTGTAGTGGGTCTCATTATCACTTGATAACCTTTTAAGATACTCTCTGTTCTCCAAATTTGGTCACATTGAGCATTTCTTGACAGGAGAACTCTCTCAGTCTACGTACGAATGGGTATTTGGAGTAGTAGTCAACAATTAGTAGGTAGTTCTGGTCGCAATTTGCCATGGCCTTACTAGGATCTCATGCTTTAGGAGTGGTTCAGCATGCTGCACTTTTTGATGTTCTTGGCAAATGCTGCATTGTCGAACAGTTTTGACAATGTTGTTGTTGATACCATGCAGGAACACACAGTTTTTTTGCTCACAATCTTGATTTGTCCTGTGTCAGTTTTTCTGTTGAGAATTGCACAAAGTTGACCTTTATATCCAGGTCTATGGCTTCCTTTACTCTCTTGTTTGAGAGTCATGATAGCCTATCTGCAAGAGTCATGTCCTTCCCTGGTCGATACATCATGATCATGTCAGGTGCTACAATGAGGTTTTTTTAGGGATATCATTTTCAGGGACTTGTGATCACTCTCAATAATAAATGGGAGGCCATATATGTATGTTTGGAATTTCTTGCATCTGAAAACCACTGCTAATAGCTTCCGTTCTATGTTGTTATGGCACTGTTCTGTTTATGTGAGGGATTTGGATGCAAACACTATGGGTTTGCCTTCTTGCATGAGTGCAGCTCTAAGGTCTTTCCTCAAAGTGTCAACCTGAATCACTGATGTTTTTAGTGGATCAAAGTAAATGAGCAACATTTCTGCGTTAATTCTATCCTTTATTAGCTCAGGGATTTTTGGTAGCTACTTGTCCGTTTGTACTCTGAGTCTTTCTTTACCAATTCTCTCAGGGATACTGTGAGGTCAGATAGATGAGTGTTAAATGGTGCCATATATGTGATAATTCCCAGCACCTTCTGAAACACCACTACATTATTAGGACTGAGTAGTGATTTTATCTCATTCATCTCATGGGAATCTGGTTGGGTGAAAGCCATTTTTACTAAACACAGCTACAAAGAAGTGTATTTCCTCCTGGTCCATAGCACATTTAGTGCTGTTGAAACATAGACCTATGGGTCTGGCAACCTTCATGAGGTTGTGAGCATATTCCTGCTTGGTTTGCCCATAAACCACTACATCATCTATTAGTCTCTTTATCCCTGGATATTGCTCCAGGATCATGTTCATTTTTTGTTGGAAGACATCCTGCAACATTACTACGCCAAATGGCATTCTCCTGAAGCAGTATTGGCCAAAAGGGGGAATTAAATGTGGTTAGTGGCTGGGAGTTGGCATCCAACTTGATGGACTAGTAGCTACTCTTGGCATCCATTTTTGTGAAGTACTTAGCATTTGCTATTTTATGGGAGACCTCCTCCAATGCACAAGGTCAGGTCAAGTCGTAAGACCCCCTACCAAATACAACTTATAGCCAGACAGTATGGAATGTCTTGTGGTGGCATCATTTGATGGCTTTACTCAGGTTCTTTGGGTTTAGGCATATCCTGAGTTCTCCACTGCTTTTGCACACAAACGCAATGCTGTTGACCCAGTCAGTAGGCTCATCTCTCTTTTTAATAATTCCTTGGGTCACCATATCTTCTAGTTCTGCTTTAATTTCACCCATAGGTCTATGTTTCAACAGCACTAAATGTGCCATGAACCAGGATGAAATACACTTCTTTGGAGCTGTGTTTAGTAAAAATGGGCTCCACCCAACCAGATTCTCATAAAGTGATGGGACATTTCCTGGATGCATGGATAACTGGGTTACTGTCTGTTTTCAATACAATGTGGTATTCACCAACTTTGTCAAAATGATCAGGATACATTTCTGTGATGTCTTCTGTGGAGTTAATTGGACATTTTATTTGCTGGATGACACAATGTATGGTTACTAGCTTCAACTCTGAGGGAAGGAAGTGTCAATACAGCGGGGCCTTCTGAGGTAACTACATAGAATTTGATACTTCTCCATTCATGGTTGTATGCACATTGTAAATTCATAGGCCCAAGTTGGGGTATGGTTGTGCCATTGTATGCAGTAAGTATAGCTGTTTCCTGATGCATGGAGTCAAGAAGTGGTAATCTATCTGGGTTGACTTTTTCAGGGAACATTTTCTGAAAAATATGAAAGGGGAATGTATTCACTTCTGCTCCAGTGTCAACTTTTGCCTTTAGCTTGTGGGTCCCTGGCGTGTTGGGGAGCATTATGTTTAAACATGCATAAGCTTCAGTTCAGGTGTCTCTCCTATTCTGTTGTTCAATCAAGTGGAAAAACATTTGATCATCTATGCAGTTGCTATGAGCCTAGTTGGTTTCTGATCATGGCCCTTGATGTCTTCTCTCTACTGGGTACCTTGGCATCGTGTATGGTTGCGGCAGCATGCTCTCCATGTTCCCTTTTGATTTATTTATGCACACTTTAGTCCAGTGGTTTTTTTCAGATGTATGCCAAGCACACTGTACCCCATGCTGGGCATCCTTGTTTGGTTTGGGGATATGTCCCTCCACATCATCTGCACTTGGTATCACTAGGGGTGTGCTTCATAGTATCTGTACCTTTTCCTTTATGGTCCTGTATATCAGCTAGCTGGCTTGTGTAGCATATAGAAGGTTTGTGTACTCTGCTTATGTTCAGAGCTTCCTGTATAGACAACATTTGGTCTTTTGAGATGAGTTGTTTTTGTAGCTCAAGATGTTTCATCCCTAATTTACATTTCTTTGCCTGTAAACAGCATCTTGCCAGAAAGTTGTCAATATTCTCAGAATCTCCCTGCATGAATTTCTGTAAGCAAAAAGTTTATTCGGGTTTCTAATTTCTAAACTTTTCCAAAACTGTGGCTGCATTCTGTTTATTGGCCTCTTTCTTGAACTTCCACAAATTAAAACATTGAAGGTCTTCTTCATTTGACAGTGACAATATGTGTTCAACCTGTTTTTCCTCCAGTATATTCTGTACAGAGAAATACAGCTCGCAGCGCTGCTTGACAAAATGGAACAACCACATTCTTGGTTGTTGTGCATGACATGACTGGTTCGATCACTAGTCTGGACATTTTGATCTTGTGTGTGTGTGTGTGTGTGTGTGTATATATATATATATATATATACTATTATTATTTTTTTTTTTTTTTTTTTTTTAGCAACAGATTGGTTTTCCCCAAATAATGACAACAGATAACAATATAATATTGTACTCAGAGTTTATCAGTAAAGATCTCTTTCCATGAAAGATTTTTTGTACATTGTGGTCTTCATCTTTTATTGTTCACCATGTGAACAAACTATTTCTTCTTTTTATTTTATTTTTTTTTTATTATAGCCTTGTTTAAATGCTGTTTTCATTCTTGTCTCACTCCTGCCCTTGTTTGTTGGGCTGTGTGTTGTTTTCAGGTTTTTAAAGCTGAACCATGTAAAAAGATTGATAGAACACAAACACAGATGTATGATGCTAGCCAGCCATGTTTGAGCTGGTCACTTTATTTTTAGAGAAGAGTTCTAAAAGGGAGACAATTACAAATCCTGACACCTCCACCACAGAAACAGGTGTACAGTTGGCTCTTTTACATTCATAGATTCTACTAATTGGGGATTAAAAATATCTTGAAAAAATTCCAGCAAATTCCAAAAAGCAAAATTGAAAATGAAGTGATCGGTAATCACTTTACATATGCAAATGAGTTTATCTGTTTGAATCTTGTTTACTTTGTTTCATTTGTTTGCTACTTACAGAAGTGGGGGAAGAGGGTGCAATGGCCCTGGGAATGCATCCAACCAGAGTGAAAAAAAAAAATTTACTTTATATTTAATTTGCATAAAGTGTTTGTTTCATGTTTCATCTGTTTTTTACATATTTAAATCTTCTCCTTCTTTTTTTTTTTTTTTTTTTTTTTTAAGCGTTTCACCCCAAGTAAGGCAGGAAGCCACTAGGATGCAGGAAATAGCAAGATCAGATAAGAGTGATAGAAGAAAAGATGAGGGTAGTGGATAGATCAAGGTAACTGGAGTTGTCGATTGACATTACACTTGAATAGCTGGAGATTATAGCTCGCAGGGAAACAGGAGAAGGGAAGGGAGTTCCACAGGCAAGAGGTGCGAGACATGAAGCTATTAGAGTAGAAGAGACGGCTACATTTAGGAGTTTCGACAGTGAGGGGGTGAGCGGGGGATGCCAGCCTCGTAGGGTGCTGGAACTCATGACGTCTGGGAACCAGCGAATGCAGCTTCTCGGAGCAATTTCCATGAAAGTATTTGTAGAACAGATAGAGGGAGGCGACGGCGCATCTGTGAGAAAGTGACTGTAGACGAGACGCCAGGGCAGGGCCAACCATATTGCATATCCACCTCTGGAGCCTATCACGAACCCCGAGGCAAACAGAAGGGGCGCCAGACCTAGCGCGGCTCAGGGAGCCAACTTTCCTCGCAGTGGACGAGGCAATTGACTCTATGTATTTATTCCATCTCAGGTCAGCAGTCAACGTGAGACCGAGAAGCCGCAGAGAGTTGCTCTCGAGAAGTTGAGCGTCAGACATTCTAATGGAGGGAAGGGAAGGCTCTCTGTGGTGATTAATAGACAGCAGTTTTGTCTTCGAAGCGTTGAAGTTGACCAGCCAATTCATGCCCCAGTTCACAATCGATTGGAGGTCCTTTTCGAGACGCACGGCAAGGTGAGTTTTGTCAGCGAGACTAGATTTGTTTTGAGGCAGGAATAAATTGTGGTGTCATCACAGAGATGCCTACTTGGGAAGATACGGCGTTGGGAGGATCATTTATGTAGATAAGGAATAGTGGGGCCTAGGATGGAGCCTTGAGGGACACCTGCGTTCGTGGGATAGGAACTGGAGGAGAACCGTTGAGAAACGACCTTCAGTTCTCGGTTTGACAGGAATGATTGTATTAGGTTATATAATTGACCCGTAATGCCATAACCCTGGAGCTTGCACAGAAGGCCGGCATGCCAAACCCTATCAAATGCTTTGGAGATGTCAAGTGCTTCACGGCTCGGGCTTACCCATTATTTTGGAGAGCTCGGTAGACTGTTTCAGTGATGGCTGTGAGCACATCGGCTGTAGATCGGGCAAAGCGGAAACCATATTGCTTGTCAGAGAGCAGATTATGGGATGTGAGGTGGTTAACTACCCCGATATTGATTAGAGCTTCGAAGACTTTGCTGAAGAGGGGAAGGAGACTGATAGGATGGTAGTTGGAAGGGCCAGGGGGGTCGCCGGAGTTCTTTTCTCACATTTCTCATTACTTTGCCCAATATCCCACTCCCCCCACTCACTTGAGTCTTGCGGGGCATACAATCAAGGACTGCTTGTGTTGTGCACACACTTTGTGTGTGTTGTTGTATTTTTTGTTTTTAGAAATTTCTATAAAAAATTGTATCAGAAATTGACTAATTATTGCCATTTAATAAAGATTTTAGTGTTTATTTAAACTAAAACTTTATCAAAATTAGTTGAGTTCTGATACAATTTTTTAAAACTGAACTGTTTTTGAACTGAGTTTTTTTTAATTTTTTGTTTCCCGGTAAACAACTTTTCACACTGACACTTTTCACAAATATCTCCAGTTCTGTATATAGTGTACATAATTCATTTTTATATTAGAATTTTCTTCATCTTTTTTTCTAATGGTATAAAGATATGGATGATAAAATTTACTTTGCTACAAGTTTTTTTTTTTCTCTGATATCTATTTGCTGCAAAAATTATTGGTTCATACATTATAATATGGCAAGCATTTACATCTCAAGTATTATAAACAATTTCCACATGATGTAACATATATGGGGAGATGTGCCAAGGTTGTATGCAAATAGTTTAGCATTTCATATCAAGAACTTGAGTATTTTCAGACTTTGGTTTCTGCACAGGTTCCTTGAAGTAATCTGCTAAGAGACAGCTAAATTCTGTAGCCAAACTGGTTATAAGGAATTGACACAAGCAAAATTTAAAAAAAAACAAAAAACTAATATTTGAAACATTTTCTATGTGTGGTGTCATTTCAGGATGTGGGTGATCATAGCTTTCCACAACATCCTATCCTTTGTAGCTCTACTTCCCAGTTCTCCTTGCCTTCAATATGTTTTGGGAGTGTAAAAATTCTCCAAGTCCTCTTTTGTCTTTGTTTTCTAGAAATTTCAACTGTCTCTTTCTGATTCTAAGTATAAGCATCTTTTTTTTTCCCCCATTTTTCCAAGAATTTCCTTGTTACTCTCCACTTCCTTCTGTAGAATTACATTTCTATTGCCTCAAGTCTCTACATCTATGAGGAGATTCACTGCCATATAAGAGGACTAATATTACATAATTGTTCAGCAATCTTTGTTTCTAATGAAATTTTTCTGTTTCTGAATCTTTTGCTTAGCTTTTGGAAGGCATCTTTCGCTATTCCATTGCATCATTGGATTTCAATGTTACATTTTTCATCCTCTGTTAAAACACTTCTCTGATGTTGTAGTGAAAGAAATAATCATTTACCCCCCCAAAAAGTTTGTGTTCTGTGTACGATCTGCCGAAGAAAAATTACCAAAAAGTAGTTAGCAAAAATCTACTTCAATGACTAGAATCTATGCTAATGTTCTCCCCTCCCCTGAATGGCGTGACCAATCAGAAAGATCTCTCGATGAACCAAAGCTGTTGTTTTTTGCTTATAAAGGCAGATTTTCTGTGCTGGGGAGCTGAACACGCATTTTTGCTCATGAGAAGTGAAGGTTGGATGTGTGACCCCATTTTTTTTGTTTCCAGTTTGCTTGTTAGACTGTTATGACGGGCTATCGTTTGAACTGGCAACAAGTATTGCGGTTGAGAAACAGAAGAAATCTATTGCAGTTGCTACTATAAGTTGACAGTCTTTTCTTTACTTGACAGATATTTAAGTTTTGTTACTTGATTTTGGTATCTGATTCATAGTTCACATATTGTGATGCTCCTCTTGTTGATAACTATACATTCTCTCATATTACAATTGATGTTGTTTCTTCTCATTTCCTTCACTACCTTCTGTAAGAGTTCTGCAATTTCATTTCTGTGTCTGATATGTTAAGATTGTGGACATCAATAATGAATTCTGATAAGACTTCTAACTCTTTCGGTATCGTCTCACTATAAAGGTTTTAATAAGTTTGGTGAGAAGATACATCCTTGTCTTACATGCTTTTCTATTTCTGTATATTTACTGAATTCATTTTCTGTCTATATTTGAAACATATATTGCCTAAATTGTAGCTCTTTTCCTGTTTTTTTTTCTGTCCTAATGAATTGAAGATTGGTTATTGTTGATGTTATAATTCTAATTTTTTTTTTTTTTTTTTTTTTTTTTTTTGTCCAGGTCATCAGTCAACATCAAAATCTTTGTGATTCTCTTTTATTGAACTATTCACTGCTCAGCAATGATAATGCATTCCTGAGTTATTATCCACATCAATTCACTCAACGGACTTTGTTAGCAAGATTTCAGATGAACAACTCCAGTCCTCAGCATGTTCAGTTCATATGCAAACCAGTCTACACAGCTATGGTTATGTTGGCCTATCTTGGAGAAGAACAATTAAATATCAACATTACAGGCGAGTAAGCGGATTTGGTTTCTTAAACCATTCTACTTTTAAAATTATTCAATTTCAGAGAAGAAAAGCTTGATTTTAAGATTATGTAAGGATACAGAAGGTGTTTATCTTTCTTTGTGGGAGATAAGTCATGTGGGTCACATGACAGCCACTTAATGATGTCACTCCACAACAGCGACGAAAACACTGATCATTTTTCGGTTTGTATACATAAAGTGAGCTGAAATTCCTTGGACACATAATGAGGAAGGAGGGCTTGGAAAACTTAACCCTCACAGGACATACTGAGAGCAAGAGAGTGGAAAGCAGAAAGACATTTACCTAACAAGCTTGTGTGAATGGATAGCAGAACAAGGGACTGGACCTTTAGCAAAAGTAGAAAAACTTCTAAAAGCCACAAGGGATGGGAAGTTTCGGCAAGCCATGATTGCCCATATCCTGAAGGGATGTGGCACATGAAAGACGAAGAAAGGTATTTTTTATACAGCAATTTTATTTTTTTTTCTCTTTCAATATTAGGAGGATTTTTTTGTTTTAAGTATTACACTAATAAAATCTTACTATGATGTGCCATTTATTGATGTAAAAAAAAAAATGGGCATTGAATCCTAATAATATAGTTTTAGCTTTTTTTTTTTTTTAGCTTTTTTTTAATTATGTTTCTTTTTATAGGTGAAGGTTATTTGAAGAAGGAGGATAAGAATTTTGGTGGCCTGGCAACAAGACATATTTCAAATAAATCACTACCCTCTGACAGGTAAGGAATCAATCAGAATAAATTAGCCTTCTTTTTTTTTCTTTTATCAGTTTCACTGCCATATGAAATGCACGTATGTGTTGTGACATGTTGTATATTGTTTCTGATGCTGCATGTCTGTTCATTATATTATTTTATTTAAGGCAATATGAAAGACTCAGTTTCCATATTGCAGTACTGGATATGTTTATTCTGTTGTGCTGTGTTGTGTTATCCAGGTATCAATGAACATGTAAAATTCTGCTTTGTAATAGATTCTGCCTCAAGATTTGAAAACTGATATATTTTACATATAAAACTATATTTATATAATGCGATTATTATATTTTACAAATATACTTTCTGAAAGGAAGATGAACGTATCCATCGTGAATGAGATGTTTTTGTTTTGAATATTGAATTTCATTCGATTTATGTCCTCACCTGTTATTAATTTTGTCTTGTGGACAACTTATCGTTTTGTAGTAATAATAGTCTGGAAATTTAGGGAGTTGATGCTAGTACTAATTGAGTAGATTTATGTGGCGGACATGAGACAGAACCTGGGACGAGCACAACTGGTCGCGACTTGCCTTGTCCCCTCCAAAAAAGAGCCCGTATTTGCTTAGCATGTAAAGCTACTGCAGTTGAAATGAGGGAGAGAAAAAAAAGCACTTACTGCTCTGCCGTAATCCATCCTCAGCCAGATAACGTAAAAGAATGAGGGGGGACTGGCATCGCATTTTTATGCAATAACGATGCAATGCATTATGGGACATGGACACAATGAATTATGGGATCACGTAAAGAAGCAAGGGATTATGCGTATATGAACAACTATAAAAACAACTACTTTTTTCCGAGTCGGGGAGTTCTTCGAGGGACGTTCATGGTTGACGGCAAGAACGGGCAGTTAGTGTGATTTGGAGACAGAACTCAAGAAGTAACGACTCAAGGTTGAAATACCAGCTGGGAGAGCTTGAATTTACTCGCTGGTTACTGTTTTCTTCATTCGCCTCATTTTGAGAAATATGTATCAGGTTGTAAATATGTGTATAGGTTACTTAATTGAGTAGATAGCATAATTATTTATTTATTATTATTAGGCCACTGAATTATTTTAGTTGGTAAATGACAAAACGGGGAAGGAAATCTAGATAAATTAGAATGATTTAATTTGTAGTGACTGGTTTTGTGAATTAAAGTAAATGGCGGATAGAAGTTATGTACGTGTGTCAATACATGTTTGTGTGCGTAGTTACATTTATGTGTGGATGCGGGAACATATATGCAGGTGATTTTTTTGTGTGTGTGTGTGTGATTTTGTTTGAATAAGAGTATAAGGTAAGCATTACAGATTGACCTGATAGTTAGAATAGTGAATTTCTTTTTAGAAAGTGCTATTATAGGATAGATTTGGATTGGGTATGCATGTAGATTTAGTTAAAGATTTAGTATCGCTATGGGATTAGTATTTAATATGTAAAACATGGGCTTAGACAATGCAATAAAGATACCAGCTCACCTTGTTATGGATTCCAGAAGTAGTAAATCTAAACCGGATGAAGTAAAGACAACAGTATATAGGAGATGAGCGTGAATAGCCCTGTTTTCATTGGCTGACGCTGACATATGTCAATAAGGACGGTCAAAGTCTGGCCTTGCTAGTTCATATGATTACTGTTTTTTCTAATGTTGCGATGCATAGCACGATGCTTTCAAGGAGTCTAGAATCAGGTTGGGGTTGCTGTTGGAGCTGATATGATGTGAAACCCGAAATCGGTGATGAGAACAGTGCATCACTGAAGACCACCTTTGATGCATCTAAAATGTATGATTTAACTGTTCTGAGTTTGATCCTTGTGAATGCTCCATTATATTAGATATAAATTTTAAAATTGAAAATTAAGAATTTAAATTACAAAAAAAAAATTTTTTAATCTTTTAAAATGTTTCACATTGATTTAGTGAAAAGTTAATAATACAATTTTTTTTTTATAAGACAGTATATTTTCTGAAACAAATATTGGTTTGTTATCCAAAAATTATTTGTATTAATATCTTCATCTTTGTTGTCTTTACTGCATTTCGGCTGCTATATTCTGCAGCTTTCCTCGGGTATACATCATACCTGGTCCTCTTTGAGTGTTGTCCACTATTATTTTTTTTAATTCAGAATCCACAGATCTGGAGCTTTAAAGTTTTTGGACCTCAAATTTGATTTTAGCATGCACATCTGTGAAATGTGTTGTTTAAGTTGAAAAGATGGACAAAGAAAATATTAGATAATTGGACTTGAGGATGAGCATATAGAATGTAAAATGCCCAATGAAAGCTGCAGAATATAGCAGCCAAAGTGTGGTAAAGAGAACAAAGATGAGGATACTACTATGAAAATTTAATGGGATTTTGAAAATGTTTTATCTCAGAGATTTAGACATCTGTTTGAAATTCAGTTTTCAGATTTCTTTGTTATTGTTCAATGCCACAGACCCAGGTCCTATTTATGAATTGGAAAAGGATCCTAATATGAATTGGGGAAACATGCACAAGTTGTCTGTTCATATATATGTCAGTGTACCACCAACATCGAGTAAAGGTAAGGAACTTTTGGCAAAGTTTAGCATGTGTGTCTGCGAAAAACAAAAAAAAAGTTTGTCAAAAGGGCATTTTTTTCTCTTGACACTGCTGTTACTGAAGACTCCCTCAGCAATTTTAGTTGTTTTATAAAGCTATTTTTAGAATTTTAATAAATCCCAATCATTGGATTTATGCATTCTTTTTTTTTTTTTTTTTTTTTTTTTTTTAAGAATTGATAACAAAAAAATTATTTACAAGAATAATTTTCTATTTACAAGTTTATAAAAATATGTGAATCAATGACAATGCAATATTTAGTACTTACCACATTTTAAAGAAATAAGTATGGAAACAAATTGTTTGATTCATAAATATATGAATCAAATACACAGATGGGAATCCAACGGAATAAGATAAAGAACAAATAGGAAACATTTATGAATTTAATGTGTTTCACTTGTCGGAGAATGGGAATCCAACGGAATAAGATAAAGAACAAATAGGAAACATTTATGAATTTAATGTGTTTCACTTGTCAGAGAATGGGAATCCAACGGAATAAGATAAAGAACAAATAGGAAACATTTATGAATTTAATGTGTTTCACTTGTCAGAGAATGGGAATCCAACAGAATAAGATAAAGAACAAATAGGAAACATTTATGAATTTAATGTGTTTCACTTGTCGGAGAATGGGAATCCAACGGAATAAGATAAAGAACAAATAGGAAACATTTATGAATTTAATGTGTTTCACTTGTCGGAGAATGGGAATCCAACGGAATAAGATAAAGAACAAATAGGAAACATTTATGAATTTAATGTGTTTCACTTGTCAGAGAATGGGAATCCAACAGAATAAGATAAAGAACAAATAGGAAACATTTATGAATTTAATGTGTTTCACTTGTCAGAGAATGGGAATCCAACAGAATAAGATAAAGAACAAATAGGAAACATTTATGAATTTAATGTGTTTCACTTGTCAGAGAATGGGAATCCAACGGAATAAGATAAAGAACAAATAGGAAACATTTATGAATTTAATGTGTTTCACTTGTCACAGAATGGGATATGGAGAAAAAAAAAGAAATTCTGGTATTTTTACTTTTGCTGTTTGATTTTCATTGGTTAATCAGGTTTCACAAGCATTTAAACAAACATTAATAAAATTTATGGTATTCCGAATTCAAGGAGAGATGATGCATCCCTTCAATGAAATGAATGGATTCCAGGTCTAACTGAAAAACCATAAATATTGCTTTATGCAAATGTATAATTCTAGTTTGTCTCTGCAGGATTCACATGATAATGTATATTTGTAAGTTTGTGTGTGTATGTTAAGTTGTGTGTATAGAAACTAGAATTATTTCCTATTTATTCTTTATCTTATAAATTTATAAAAATATTTGAGCAAGGAAACAAGAAATCTTAAATAAACACATAATTATGAGTAACTTTAATTATAAATTTTGAAAAAAATATGTATTTTCCATGTAATTCTTTCATTTGTTCTTACCACATAAATTCACTAAAATAGGTGTAAGCATCTGGAATTTTACCTTTTTTTTTTTCACTTGAGAAATGACAGCAAAAATGTTAAACACTACTGATTTATTACTTTGTTTATTTACAAGAATATGGCTAATACTTTTATTGACAATTCTTGTGGAAAAAAAGAGAATGCATAAATCTAGTTTCATATTTTGGGGTTTTATTAAAATTCCAAGAATAATTTTTTAAAACAATAATGGTGGTGTCAAAGGAAAAAAAACATCTTTCAACACACTACTTTTTTTTTTTTTTTTTGCAGGTATGTGTTTTAAACTTTGCCATATTTTCTATCATGTTTAATATTCATTCATCACTACAAAGGGAAGTATGTTTTAGCTTATATATCAAGAATTTGTTATGAAATTGAGACATTTGTAAAACAGAACTGTTAATCAAACTGATTGTTACACGAGTTCAACTTTTTTTTACTGACGTAGGAGTAGTATACTTTTTTATTTCCTGGTTACTAAAAACGGTTTTAAAGCAAAAAAAAAACATATTTATTAGTCACAAGCTAAAAGTTAGATGCTAAAAAATTTCTTATTGCTATAAATGTTATTTTGGTGGCTACATGTGTTTGAGAAGACATTTTTCCTAAATTTATGTCTAATGCCTGCCAGCCTAGATTATTAAAAGTCATCATTAAAGACAATCTACTTCTCAATGACCTAGGATAGTGGATGTCAATTTTACTAAATTGAATAAATAGGGATGTTGATTCAAACATGTGTACTCATTAAAATAATATTTATTGTAATAAAAAATATTGTCTGGTTGAAAACTCCATTAACAGATTAAATTTCTACATTAAAGAGATGATTTTATAATTTGTTTCACACTAATGATTTCATTTATTTTGTTTTTTATTTGCTTGGTTTTTGTCATAACCATAACAATTCAACTGATCCATTGTACATCTTTCTTTAGGTTCACAGTTCATATGGAAATAAGGACCTTTCTTCTTTTTAACTGCCCTGTCGGCGGGGCTTCAGAATACGCCGACTGCACCTCTGCAGGGGGTAAAAGTCCCCCAAGGGGGCCACCTGTTTGCCGTGGGTGGTGACCCGTGATGTTTGGGGACGGGACCCTGGTGGCTGAGCAGGTCATGACCCAGGTGATAAGTGGTCATTAACTGCAACACTCCACTTTGGCCCTTACCTGAGCTAGACAGGCGGTCGGAGAGGCCCACTCCGATCAATCGGCTGGTCATGACAAGCCCTAACACTCAACCCACCCCCAAAAAAAAAAAAAAAAAAACTTGTGTATTAGTATAATTGCCAATTTATCCTCCAAAAAAAAAAAAAAAAAATGACATTTATTAAAAAAAATAAATATATATATATATATATATATATATATATATATAATAATAATAAAAACCCCACATGAGTGTTGGAAGGCGGTGGCTAAGGGTCAATCGATTCTGAGGAAGAAGGCCACAACATGGCTGTATACACCCGAGAGGCATCACTGGACTTGGCCAGCGAAGCCAAGGAATGCAGGTGCTTGTGGCTTCCACTGGATACGAGTATACCTTTCCTGTAGCCCTGATGTGCCAGGGCGAATGGGTTTCCCCTGGCATCTCCCATAAAATTGGACTCCGAGGTGGGTGGGGAGCAGGAATGGCGAAACAACACCTAAAAAACAAATGTTTCAAAGAAATCCACCAAGAGACCACATTTTGAAAGCTCTGACAGTGAGCCAGAAATAATATATCAAAACACCCCTTCATATATGGTAATCCAATCAACTGAAGATATACCTATAACTAAAATATCACCTTTCAAAATCGAACAAATACTTTCTAAAAAAATAAAACCAAAAACAACAAAAAAATTAACAAACGGAACAATTCTAATCGAAGTTCAAAAAACACAAGTGGAAGAAATCCTAAGATGGGAAACTTTCAACAACATCAAAATTAAAACCTCCCTCCACCAAACCTTAAATTCATCCAAAGGCGTAGTGAAAAGCTCTGAATTATCACTATGCACATTAGACGAAATAAAAAACAAATTTAAAAACCAAAATGTAATAGATATCAAAAGAATAAGTATAAAAAAAATGGAGAAACTATAAACACAAACACATACATATTAAATTTTAATATCCCAAAACCCCTAATGAAATTAATGTAGGGTACATAAAAATAAAAGTTGAGACATATATACCGAATCCACTTAGATGTTTCAACTGTCAGAAGTTTGACACCACCAAGATAGGTGTACTAGACCCCCAGTATGCGGAAGATGCGGTGAAAATAATGCAAGACACACTGACTGTCAGAAGGAGGCAAAATGCACTAACTGCAAAAAAAAATCACCAATTAAATTCCAGAGATTGCGAAAATCTGGAAAAAGAAAAGGATATTTCAAAATAAAATATACTCAAAAATATTACTTTCCCAGAAGCAAGGAAATTAATAAACACTGTGACATACACAGAAATATCAAAAAGACATATACCAAACCCAAACCAACAAGGACACCAAACATACGAAAATAATCAACCTATAACAAAACCTGAAGTAGTTACTCAACTTATGAACGAGATGAGAACTCTAATCCAAGAAATGAAAACCATTATAAAAACAATCACAGAAAACAAACAACTCTCCAAGGAAAACTCAAACACCAAAACATCAACAAACCAAGAGACACAAGCAAAGCCTAACAAGGAGAACCCAAAAGTACTCTCTTCTGAAGTGGCCTCTACCACTAGGCAATCACAGACTTCACCCAATAGGGAAACTATAAAAAAAAAAAACCCTGATGGGCAGGAGCATAAAAATAGATCAAGATCAACCTCAAGAACAAGAACTGCCCCAAAAATAAATAAATTTGAGGCATTGGAAATAATGGAAACGGAAGATGAGACCCCACAACTAAGCAAAACCCAATCAAGGAAAAAATCTAACCTCAAAACAAATCCTGCCAAAAATTAAAACATGGCTCACAAGTAATCAAACATCAAAATATCCATAAGATAATCCAAGGGAACTGCCGTAGCCACAAATTAAAATATAATGAGCTACCACTATTAATAGCTAAACAAAATCCTAACATCAGACATATTCAAGAACCCCCAAAAAAAAAAAAGCATGGGAAAAAAAAAAAAAAAAAACATACTACTATACCGAACCATGACTAATAAAATCATCCAATGGAACATAAGAGGTATGAAACCAAACATAAATGAACTACTGCTTTTAATTGGGAACCTATGTCCAATGATAATATGTTTACAGGAGACTTTTCTGAAAGAGAATGACAATGTAAAATTCGTAATTTTACCTCATATAACTATATAAATAATAATACAGATAGAGCCTCAGGCGGCACATCCATACTAATTAATAACAAGATCCCTCAACGCAGAATAGATCTTGACACAAATCTTCAAGCTGTAGCTGCATCAGCCACTTTACATCGTACCATAACAGTATGCTCTATATACATACCCCCACATGATCAGGTTATCGACACTAATTAGAGCAACTGTTGCAGCAACTCCCCTAGGCCATTCATTTTATTGGGTGACTTTAACAGTCACAACATCATATGGGGATGCAAAGAAATAAACAAAAAAAGGTAAAATCCTGGAAAGGATTGTTAACAAAACGATCTATGCATACTCAACACGGGCACTCAAACATATATAAACCAATTTAGTGGGAATACCTCTGCCATTGATTTAACCATATGTGACCCATCTATCTATATGGACTACACTTGGCAAGTACATGATGATACTTGTGGTAGTGATCACTTCCCAATACTTCTAAATAACACAAAGCCTAATGGAAAAAAAAAATGCCCCCGTTGGAAACTAGACAAAGCTAACTGGGGAAAAATTTGAAGAAAAATGCAAAGAAAAAACTAATACACAAAGAGTCAAACAATGACACAATAGAGTATTTCACTGAAACACTGAACTCTATAGCAGTAGACAGTGTTCCCAAGACTACAACTCCAAATAAACGAAACAGACCCTGGTTCAACAACAAATGCCAAGAAGCAATTAAACTGCGAAAAGAAGCACTAAAAAAATTCCAAAAAAAGAACCAATAACATCCAATCTGATGGAATACAAATCAAACAGAGCAAAGGCACGAAAAGAGATAAAAGCAGCAAAAAAGAGAATGCTGGCAGAATTATGTCAGCAAATTGAATTGCTCAACTAAACCAAAAGGCAATTTGGGAAATGATCAAGAAAATTATGGGCAAACAAGAAACAACACCAATAAAACACCTCTCAAAAGACAACTCCATAATAACAGATAAAAAAAGCTATAACAGAATTGCTAGCTGAAACCTTTGCCAAAAAACTCATCCAGTCTGAATGGTACAAAAGAATTCATAACCATCAAAGAAGATGCAGAAAAATGTAAACTAAATTTTAAATCAAAAAAATCTTGAAGATTATAATAGTTTATTGACACTAAGAGAATTGAAAGACTCTATAAAAAAATCCCATAATTCTGCTGTAGGCCCGGATGAAATCCACTATGAGTTTTTAAAAAATTACCAGAAGAATCACTAAAATTCCTTTTAAAAATATTTAACAAAATATGGACAGAAGGAAGGTTCCCAGATATATGGAGAGAGACAACAATGATACCAATTCCCAAACCAAAAAGAGATGGCTTGGACCCACAAAACTATCGACCTATCTCTTTAACCAGTTGCTTGTGTAAAACAATGGAAAGGATAATAAACAACAGGTTGATTTGGCATTTGGAATCAAACAATCTTATTTCCAACTTACAATGTGGGTTCCGTAGTAAAAGAGGCACAATAGACCACTTAATACGCCTTGAAACAAATATTAGAGAAGCATTTATCAAAAGGAACACCTTACAGCTATATTTTTCGATCTAGAAAAGGCTTATGATACGACGTGGAAATATGGAGTAATGAGGGACTTGAGTAACCTGGGTATAAAGGGTAGATTGCCACAGTTTGGATGGATTCTTATCTGAAAGAAAATTCAGAGTTCGTGTCGACTCTACACTTTCAGATGTGAAAAATCAGGAAGAGGGTGTCCCACAAGGCAGTATTGTCCGTAACACTATTTAACATAAAAATAAACACTATAATCAAGGAAATACCACCAGGAACCGATGGATCACTATATGTGGATGACCTTATGATATGTTATAAATCAAAAAATATATCCACACAATCGAACGAAAACTGCAACAGGGTCTAAATAAAGTCAGCAGATGGGCAACAACAAATGGATTCAAGTTCTCTAAAAAAAAAACAAAATGTGTCCATTTTTGTCACAAAAGGAAACTCCATAATGACCCTAGGCTGAAACTTGACGGTTCAGAGATCCCAGTTGTAGATGAATACAAGTTTCTGGGGTAATATTTGACAAAAAAACTAACATTTATTCCCCACCTGAAATACTTAAAAACCAAATGTAACAAAACATTACAACTACTGCGTGGTAGCCCACACAAAATGGGGAGCAGATCGAAACACTCTGTTATTATTGTATAGATCCCTAATTAGATCAAAATTGGATTACAGTAATTTTATATACCGTTCAGCCAGAAAATCCTATTTAAAAATGCTTGACCTGATCTACCATGGAGGTTTGAGGTTAGTACTCGGAGCCTTTAGAACATCTCCAGTCGAGAGCCTATATGCTGAGGCTAACGAAGCACCTGCAAATAGTAGAAGCCATAAACTGGCCCTCCAGTACTATGTCAAATTAGGGTCATGCCCAGCAAATCCTGCGTACAATAGTACCTTCTATCCAAAATACAAAGAATTATTCCAAAGGAATGAAAAAGCCATAAAACCCTTTGGACTTCGGATGGAAACAATTATAGAAGAAGCAGATGTAGATTTGACAAAAATCCATAAAACAATCATACCAGATATCCCACCTTGGACCATAAGAACCCCAAACATAAACTTAACCCTCTGTAAATACTACAAAAATAAAACCCACCCACTAATTTTCCAAGAGGAATTAGAGAAAGTTAAGGAGAGATATCCTAGGCACTCACATGTCTTCACAGATGGATCTAAAGTAGGAAAAAATAACAGGATGTGCCATAATATATAATAGAAAAATATTTAAAAAACATCTCCCAAATGACACCTCTATATTCAGTGCAGAAGTTTTTGCGCAATTAACATGGCTCTTAACCTCATCTCAGAATCAAGGAACAACAAGTTCATTATCTTTTCTGATTCACTATCAGTATTAGAATCACTAAAAACAGGAAGTTTGATAATCCATTGATAGTGAATATACTATGTAAATTAGAACACCTATCAAATGATAATGATATACAGATATGTTGGGTCCCAGGTCACACTGGAATCGGTGGAAATGACCAGGCAGATAAAGCAGCCAGGTCTACTCTAAATATGACCATAGAAAAAAATTTCAAAATACCATATACAGACCTTAAAATGAAGATAAATAAATACATACTGCAACAAAGACAACAACGCTGGAACAGCAATAGTAATAATAAATTACTAAAAATTAAACCTGAATTGGGAGAATGGAAACAGAGCTATAGGAAAAATAGAAAAGAGGAAGTGATATTGTCCAGACTTCGTATAGGCCATACAAGGACAACACATTCCTACTTACTTGAAGCAAAGCAACAACCAATGTGTTATGCATGCCAGACCGCATACACAGTGAAACACATTCTCATTGAATGTACTGACCTAGCCCATATAAGAGAAACGCTTTATAGTGCAAGTAACATGAAGGAACTGTTCCAAAAAACTGACATGGATAACATAATATCGTTCCTGAAAGCAGTCAATTTGTACCAAAAATCTAAAACATAAAAAGTTGGGAGTTTTCTGCAAACTTTTGCTGCAAGGAATGTTTTCAACAAAATCTGATTCTTTCTGCATACCATTTTCAAAAAAGGAAGAAACTTCCTACGATACAATTCTCTACAAAAAATTTTTTTGACAGAACCAGATTTTTCTACAAACCATTTCATTTCTAAAAACCTTTTTTCAGCATGGCAAACCTCTCCGTTTGTGGAAATGGAAGGGACTATTATATTGGAAAATAATATTCCAATAATAACCTGATTTGACATTAAATGACTGAGGAGGTCGATATGTCGTAAAACACAAACAAACAAACAAAAAAAATCTTCTTTTTAAGCAGGTATCTCCATTTATTCATCATATAAAGATGGCAAAAAGTGAGTTGCTCTTTAGGGTGGCACAACTCAAGAAATAACCCAATTCTGCAGACATCAAGGTGAATCCATGACCCCTAATCTTTTTAGTATATTAGAGAGGTGGTATATCATAGAACAGATCAAATATATTTCAGAATATCTAGTTTATTGACAATGGCAAGTTAAATTTCAGTTGGTGCCTGCAATAGAAGAACATTTTGGTAAACATACTGAGTAGATTAACCCAAATAGCCAAACCCCTCATTAATATTGTCACACAGGTGATTCCATATTTTATGCTTTTAATTACTCACCAGTCTTTTTTTTAAAAAAAAAATCCACATCTCTAATAGTTTGGTTGTTGTGGCAACAATGAAAAAAAAAAAATGTTTTTTTTTTTTTTTACTTAGCAAGTCAGCTGGCAGTATGCCAGATGTTCTATTTAACTCCAAGACATATGGCAACATTATTAAGACAATACTTGGTGATGACTATCGATTTGAATGCAGTTCTTATTTTTTTCTTGGCTATTTTCATTTCATAATTTTAAAACTCTTTTATAAATTATTAATATATCTGTTCTGTTTTTTTTAAAGATCTCCAGATGATGGTTTATAAAATCAATAACACTTTTGGAAATCCTTATGATGTCTGGAAAAACATGGGGAAACCAGATTTTCCAACAAAAGAGCAATTTCAGGAAATTCGGAAACAAGAGGTAAGTCAATAATGGATTTTATATTTTATATAATTTATTATGACAAACTTGTGAGAAAATAATTATTTAGGAAATATCTGTACTTTTGTTGAGCCTTTGTAGATTACTGAATAAAGTGTTAGGAAAGAAATAATAGAAAATTGTGTCATGATTGGGATTATATGGTTTGTGTTCATTTTATGAGATAGGTGCCAGGGATAAGAACAAGTAAAGAGCCCTGATTGCCTACATCCTGAAGAGACATGGCACATAAAAGATGATAAGCCTGTTCATAAGTAGAGGCTTGATGGTGGTTGTGTATTGGCTTATTTTCATAGCACAGCTGTGAAGAATATGAAAAAGGATTTCATTAATTGTATAATGTAACAAAGTGCAACAAGGAAAAAGAAGTAAAAAGTTTGATTTAAGATTCTCTTGAGATCCAAGATGAGTTATCACTCTGTGGCAAGCACAGCCTCTAAAAAAAATTCTGTAGAATTAGAACAGAGAAAAATAGTGAATTTGGACCAATAGAAAATATCAGGTTGAGAAAGATAAAGAAATGTATTTACATATTTGTGCATGTGTCATAGAATTCTTCTTTTTACTTGTCAGTCATTTTTTACATGCACAAAATAAAAATCAGTGAAATGCAACAAAACACTATTTGTTGGCTAACACCCAGTGATGGCGCTAGGGTTGCTGGTACCCCAGGAAATCTGAACTTCGGTGCCCTTACAAGTATAATGATTTAAAGAAGAAAAACTGAAAATTTAGAATAACAAGTGTATTACAATATACAACTTAATACAAGCTAAAGAAAACATTCATTATCCTATGTAAACCATTTTTTCCAGATCTGCAAATATTTCATGGTACTTTCTACATCTATCATCTTTACAAGGTCAATTTCTGTTGACGAAATAGCCAAAGAATTTAATCTATCTTGAGTTATGGACAACCACAAGTATGTTTTTATAAGCTTTAGTTTTGGAAGATCACAAACACATGACATGGTGGCATGATGGTGCCCTGGGCAACTGCCCAAGTTGCTAGTATCTTGAACCAGTCCTGCTAACACCTATGTTGCTTGCTTATATGTGTGTGGTGGGGTTGGACCAGATCCAAAACAAGAATGGTTATATCCAAGACCAGCAAAAGTCATGTAGAATTATATCAACAGGAATTAGATACAGAACTAATGAACCATTGTTTAAATCAAGGAGAGAAAAAGTTTGTTTTCCAAGGTCTTTCTTCAAACATAATCATTTCTAGTTATCTCTTCATGGTGAATAGAAAAGATCTTTTATTTTGCTTCTACATTTGTTAACTTAGTGTATTTAGTGACTCATCAGATTTCCCAATTGATTACATTTTATATTACAATACTAAGGAAGTAGACTTGGTACAAGTATTAGTCATTTACAAAGCCACAAGTATGGAGCACTTGATGAGGACCTAATTATCTACAAGTCCACCTCATTGGTCAGGTTTTTGCCCCTTACAATATAAGCACAAATAAAAATAAATTCTTTTAACCCATTAATACTCACCATCCTATTTTCGAGTTAGTGACTATTAATGGGCTATAGATAGAAGCCTATAATTAATAAGAGAAGTTTTAGAAACCTATAATTAATATGGACTTTTCATTTTACTTTTTATAATTAATATCTAATTTTATGGTGAGCGTTAAGTGATTTTAATAAAAAAAACTTTGTCATATGGACAGATATTTTTGAGACTGAGTATGCAACTATTGAATTGATAAAAAAAAAAAACGTAATCTCTTTCATCTACAGCTATGAACTCATACAAAGAAGAATATATGCATTTGTAGCTTTAAATATTTTAAGCTACATTGGGGAGAATCCATCAATTTTCTTATTCTGGGTGTGACAATAAACTACATCTACATACTGAGTAAGATGATAAATTACATTTGACATTGTGGTATTTGTTGTCTATAACACTCAAGATAAGGTTACTAATTTGAATAGATTAATTTATGACTCTTCCTAAAATTACAGAAATTGTTGATTAATAGCCTACAATCAAATTGGATTGATAACAAGTTAACTGGTCTCAAGCTTGGTCAGTACTTAGCTTGTGTACTGCTTTGCAAAACCTGTAAGTAAGTGACCTTGTACAATTCAAAATATGTTTTGGCTTTAAATAACCCACAACAGGTTGATAAGCTATAAAAAAAAAAATCAATCATTGCTTAATGAAATTACTGTATTTTATCTTGCAGGGTTTGCAAATGTTGTACCACGCTGCTATAAATCCAGGTGTTGTTGATTTACCTGTATTAGGCTTCTCTGCTCCATCTCTGTTGCTTGTTCACATTTGTTCAAAAGCAGCTTCCCCACCAGGTCAGGTAAGACAAACACTTTCTTGGCACTTAACTTTAACCATAATTTTGTTGTTTATAGCATTTATTATTTCTTTTTACAAGGAGTTTAATTCTAGAAGATATTAATAATAGTCTATGAATTTCTTAAATAAAGCATTATTATTATTATTATTAATAATAATAATACTCTAACTAGCCTTTCATATTAATTATAGTTTTTTATGCCAACTTTCAGATTGTTATTCTATGTGCAACATGAATTGGAAATAAAGAAGTAGATTTGTATCACTTAAATTGATCTGTCCATCTTTTTACTAATTTAGTCATAAAGGCTTTAAGTAATGCTCATTAGTAACGGCCAGTGAATTAATGACACTGTCATGCTAAGGCAGGCATTCAATAAATAAGGTGCATGTTCAAATCTTGCAGGAGTCTTTTCTTTATTTTTTATCCATACTGCTTATTTAGTGGTTATAGAATAAAGATCTGAAATTCACAATAAAATTCAACAAAAATCAGATAAAAAAAGGCTACTTAAAACTTTATAATTAATTTGTTGTTTGTTCAATTGCTGTATATTTTTAATAAAATATTTTTCTTAAATAAGCTAGATAGTGAATTCTTCACCATGGAAAGTCAAAAATGAGTGATGACTCTAAAAGAATTCTATTATTTTAAATAGATCTTAGCACACAAAATAGAAGATCTGCCAGGAATGGGAAACATTGTAAGAAGCTGGGTGCAAATTTTCCTGTGGACAATCTAGCATTCAAGGCACTCTCTAAGCATTTTTGTCTTAGTGAATTGTTTTCCCCTTTGATCAGAACAGCATTTTTTATTTCAAAATTGTGGTCAGTCTCTTTACGATGAGCAACTAAAGCATTTAATGTGTTGTTTAAAATGTCCCTTTTCTGTTCATATAAGCTTTTATTTAAATTCCATTAGGTTTCTCCTATGTATTTTTTGTGACAATTATTACAGGCAATAGAGTAAATTCCTCCTGCAAGTTTTAGCTTCTTGTTTTGTATTGACTATTTTTTTTAGTTTTATTGGTTTAAAAGTAGTTATAGCAAATTTTATGTTGAGTTTAGATAAATTATGTTCACTTGTACTTGTAGTTGCTAGGACAATATATTTTTGAATTAATTAGGTTTGTCAGGAGGGGACGTTTTTCTATTTGGAATATTTTATGAGCCTTTTGTTTCACATTGAATATAAGATAATTATGGTATTGAAGAAGCTTGAAAGTGTGCATGTATAGTTGCACCAATGTAAACAAATTTAGGCCAATGAAATCCTAAAGGATGAAATGTATTGCACAAAACCTTTTTCCACTTTGTCATACATCTTCCCCACCCAAATTGTTCTTGATATATAAAAATTAATATACTATTATCATACATATATAGTGTATTTTGGGCAGCAATCCTTCTTTCATGCAAGCTTTATTAAGTATGACAGACAAGGTGCTTTGATTAAATTTTTTATACAATTTCTCATATGATCTTATAATTTTTTTCTTTTCCATAGATACATTAGACAAAAAATGTATGGAGAAAAGTGCTTGGAAAAATAAAACATTTGGACAGTTTTTGTATAATTTATCCATGGAAAAGAAAACAAAAAAAAAGATAATATGAGAAAATATATAAAAAACTTAATCAAAGCACCTTGTCTGTCATATTTAATGAAGCTTATATATATATATATATATATATATATATATATATATATATATATATATTATATAAAAACTAGGTAATCCGTATGGGTAGAATTAATTTATTTAAATTATATATATGGGGTCAATAAAGTCACTATACAATTACTTAGAATAACAATTAAAACAAAGCAATTAATCAAGTCCAGAAATTTATTATTAAAATGGTTCTGGTTAATAATAATAAAATGCTATGGTAAACAATAGTAAAAATTAATGACCAATACTGTTTGAACTTCAAGACACCTGCTTCAATGCTTTGCTTTTTTATTTTAAGTAACTGTATAGTGACTTTATTGCTACCCTGTGTGTGTGTGTATATATATATATATATATATATATATATATATGAATGGCTTCTTTTCATTTTCATCCAATTTCTTGTACATCAATTACATCTGGAATTTTATCAATTCACAACTTCCATGTATTTTGTTGATCTATGAGGGAACTCTCTATACTTCATCCAACCATTAATACTTGACAGTTTATCATATCAAGAGATTATTCTATAAAAATAAATTCTTATTAACTGTCATTCTATGTTTGTTCTCTCTCCAATTTGTTGTTTATCAACAGATGTTGTTTACCAACAGATGCAAATTTATGAGGATCCAAGTGATTTGCAAAATGCAAACAGAAATACAACTAGATATCATATAAATGCAACTGAAATTTGAAACAATAGTGAACAATTAATAATTGCTGACAATGACTCTTTTAATAATAGTAAAATATTCAAGATTATATTATTTAAGTCTGGAAATGTTTTTTAATAATGTAACTCAGAACATTTCAGACTCTGAAATATCTTTACTGAATTGGGGGTCCAAAAATAGAGTTCCTATCTTAATTTTTACAATTCATTGGAATAACCGAAAGATATTTTTCTTCCTAAAAAAATTAGTTTAAATTTATTTTGAAAGTTCTGTATTATTTATTAACTAGCTGTTTATGTAGCCTGTGATATCACAGGCAGGATTTATTAAACAAGTAAATTAAGACTACATTATTCTCTCTTATTATTGCATAAGCAGTAACACAGTAAAATATAAAAAATATAAAGAAATAAGCAAATGCCAAAATCATACTTTTAATATGAACAGATATTTTGAATATAATTTTAAGTTGATTGTTTATTACTTAGCTTTTTTTTGTTTAGGTAAAACATTAACTAGAAAGTAAATAGGTGAATTTTTGCCAGTGCCTCCACATAAAAATTTATCATGGCCCACTAATGGTGTATATTGACCTTGTTACAAGAAAATATAGATTGTTCACAGGGCTGTTAATTAATGAATGAAAAATCCCCATGATAAAGATTTTTAACATAGAATTTTGCAATTTTCTATTACTTTGAGCACGTTTTGATACCGTTTGAATGTTGTGCATTAAAAATTAGGAAAAGAGGCTTTATAAATGGTTAGAAGATAATGCAAGCATTATGACTAGAATATGATTATTATTTTATGTTTATATAAGATACAGAGAAATAGATTATCATTGGTTAAGAATTAATGCAAGTGTTACTGATAGAACAAAATTATTAAGTATAGAAATGAATAGGTTAGTATAACAAATAAGATCCAACACTTTCTTGAAAGTAAAAAGAGAAAGATGTTCCTTCCTTTTAACTTTGATATGTTTATGTATCTATAAAACTAAATAAGAGAAATATAGAAATTCCAGAAATCTTTGCCGACATTGAGATTATTTTTGTGATTCTTATAAAATTAATTACCAACTATACCTACCTGTTGAATTTCTTGGTGTTATTTCCTTACAGGTCATTTCTGTTAGAGTACAGAATATTACAAGGAACCAGGTATTGGTTGTATGGTCTGACAGTCTTATTGGTAGCAAGTAAGTTATTCACTTCAATAGTAAAATCATTTTGACAAATATAAATGTTAATTTCATTACTACATTAGGTGGTCAAACATGAAGAGAGAAGTTTTGACATGGGGCAATGATTAACAGAGCTAGTAATTATTGAGTAGTGAGTTTGATCCTCACTGGGTGCTCATACAAAATTTTGACATTAAATAATCCAAAAAGGGTTGACATGGTGTAAAATCAATTAATGTAACTGCATTAAGGCATCTTATTTTAGGGTTAGCAAGCTTAGTTTGATTGAGATTTACTACAAAGTAATTGATACACACTGGGTGCCCCCATTCAAAAATTCTACCTTTATATAAGACATGTCATTAAATCAATTGATTCAAATCAACCTGAAGATGCAGATTTTGTTAGTATTAAAAGTTTAATACTTTTAATTTGTTATCTGTCTTTATAGCATAGAAATGAATACAATATGGTAACCAGTAATAAGGAGTGCCAGAGAAGAGTGATAATAACAAAAATTGCCATATGAGCTCTGGTAAAAACATGAAATGATAACAGCAAAAATTACAATATGAGCACTGGTAAAAAAATGGTTGCTGAAGACATTAGGTGTTTATAATACCCAGAAATTAATATACAGATGTCCTCAAGGACACGTGGCACAGTGGATAAAGGCGTTAGTTAGATCCAGTGACAAAGAGTGTGAGTTCAGTACCTGGTTAAGGTGGTGGAGAACTTGGAGAGGGAATTAAGCAGGAGATAACTGACATGTCTCCCCCAGTGAGCGAAATAAAGGGTTCAGTTCGACATTCCAACCACCTGAAGAAAGCCGGAGCATACAATGGCTAAAACGTAACAAATATGGCGACAAAGATGAGGACAATAGTCCAAATAATGTAAATAGTGTTTTAATTTGTTGACTGCATATTACCCATAAAAATGACAGAATTATTTACTTATGGATCAGCACTTCTGTAAAGAAGCAGAATATATGTATGCTCTTCTTTTTTATCTCCTTGGCTATTTGCTTAGGATCAGAGTGCAACATGTAAAAATATGTATCTGCTCTTTGCTTAGCATTTGTGCACTATGTAAAGTTATATGTGTGTGTGTATTTGGGCACCAATCTCTCTTTTATTCAAGATTCATTAAAATGACTAACAAGGTACTACAGTTAAGTTTTTTTTATTTAATTTTTCTTGTGTTCTTATAATTTTCTTTTCTGGACATAAATTATGTAGAAATTGTCTGAATGTTTTGTATGTACTTTTGACTATACTTTTAGCCATTATCAAGGATAATTTTATTTTTTTACTTTTAACAATATATGTACGTATCTTGAGTTATGGGAATGTTTTATTTTTCAAACATGGTCAGCACATTGTGGTCATGTTCATAGTTGATGTTATTGAGTGTTGGCTTTTTTTTTTTTTTTTTAAATTAATAATGCTTAACCTATAGCTGAGAGCTATTTTTTCCTCAAAGTTTTTTCCAGGACTTTTCCGTGGTATCAGATATTTAAATGTTACTTAATTTACAATTGAGAATTTAAAATAAGATGTTCTCGTAGAAACTAGATTGCAAATAAGGCATTATGCACAGAAAGTAAAGAACATTTTGAGTGCAAATGGTCAGTACAAAAATCTTGGAAAAGAATTAAAGAAATATGGTGGTCTGAAAAAGCAGCTGAGCTTCAAATAGGTTTTGAGGAAAAAAAAATAATAAAAAAAAATCTTTCTATGAAGGTGTAAAGCATGTGTATGGTCTGTTACCACATGAAGCATCCCCCATCTTGTCAGCTGACGGTAATACATTCTTCTATGTGCTGTATTCATTCAGGACCTGTGGGATCATGGCTCTCCCTTTGCCAAGCCCCCTACCCCTTCCCATGAGCTCATTGGGTAGGTGGCTGCTGCTGTTGCCTGCCTCTCTTGTCCTCGATATACTCTGGGAAAATTAAGTTTTCTAAGCCCTCCTTTTTGATTATGTGTCCAAGAAATTTCAATTGTCTCTTTCAGATTCTGTGTGTGTGTTCTTTGTTTTCTTTAAGACTTCTTCATTCCTCATTTGCATGGAATTCTCAGTATCCACATTTCTAGTGCCTCCAGTTTCCTCTTGTCCAGTATTCACTGCTATATAAGAGGACTGATATCACATATCAATTCAACACTCTTTTCTTTGTTGCTAACAAACGTTTCTTATCTTTCAGAATATATTCACTGCTATGTAAGAGGACTGATATCTATATATCAATTCAACATCCTTTCCCTTGTTGCTAACAAAAGTTTCTTTCAGAATGCATTCACTGCTATATAAGAGGACTGATATCACATATCAATTTAACACTCTTTTCTTTGTGCTAACAAAAGTTTCAGGATGCATTCACTGCCACGTAAGAGGACTGATATCACATATCAATTCAACACTCTTTTCTTTGTTGCTAACAAAAGTTTCTTATTTTTCAGAATGCATCTTTCACTAATTCAATGCACGTTTGGATTTTGGTATCTCGTTTTCCATTCTCTGTTAAAACCCTTCCCAGATATTTGAACTTCTGCAGTTCATAGTTCACATCTTGGGCTTTTTCTCTTGTTGACAACCATACTTTCTGTCTTCTTACATGTGATGGTTAGTCTTTTTTTCCTGCTTTCCTTTACTACCTATCTCGGGGGTCCTGTAGTCTTCTTTCTGTGTTTGCCATTGATTTAAAGAAAAGAAAAAAAAAAAAAAGGAGAATATTTTGCTTGATGGTGTTACTCAGAACGTTGACTTTCCACACTACCTTAAACAAAAGAGTAGGAAATAAACTCCAATCACCACAAGAGCAATAACAGTGGACTTGAATTTTATTTTCAGAAAAAAATGTTTTAAGAGAAAGATTTTATAAATTTCAACCAACTGTCACTGTTTAATCATTAAATGCTTCCTATTTCCTGTATACAAACAGCTAATTTCATCATTACCATTTAACTTCTCATCAGATCTCAATTATGAAGTCATTAACTCATTACTATAAAGATCAGAAATAAACTGAACTTAATCCAATATTAGCAGAAGTGTTGTCTGCAAATGGTCTTAAGAAAAGCTCCTTGTGCCAATGTAATACCAGTTGGCATTCACAAATTTGGAGGAAATCTAAAATATATTGGAGGATAAACACAGCAAATTTTGAACACACACACACACACACACACACACAGAGTAAAGGTAACAAATTCGTTGGTATATAATCCACATGGACCCTAGTAATATAAGATATTAAAACTGATCCACAAAAAGAGCTCAGTGTATTTAGATATCGATTCTATAATAGAAAGTGGTGATGATGATAAAAATTAAAATTTCAACCAATTGTTAACTTCAAAATTAGCTTTTTTTATAGATTTTTTATTTTTTCCACCAAATAAAAAATGCAGTTACTGATAAACATAAATTTATTGACAAAAATTGTTACAATTATTATTGTTGGATTTAAAATGAAAATTGGGATAATATCTTTCTTATTTTAGAACAACAATTACATATTTATTATTATAAATCAATAATGAGAAAAAATATTTTTGTTTAAACCTATTTATAATACGCACCCCTACTATCACCTGTAATTTACAGTAAAAAAGAAATGCGTATTATTTTCAAGAAATTATGGTATATGATAAAAGATATTAAAATTTTTTCTATAAATATCCTCGTAAAATAATGGGGAGTGCATCTTATCTTATGTGAGGGTGCATGTTATGCAAAGGCAAATAAAATAATCTTTTTTTTTTATACTTGGAATAACTTTAGCTTATTTAATTAAAGTAAATATAAGATTTATTTAATTTAATCTGGACTTGCTATATTATTATGTTTATTGCAAACAAGAAATCCTTTTTGTGCAAAAATTATTAAAATAAATTTAGTGTAGGAATCTTAGTCTTCTTTTTTTTTCTTTATAAATATTTCGCCTCCAAGCAAGGCAATAAAGCCACTAAAACTCAAGAGGTTATTGAGTGTTAGAGTATATGAGAAGGAAAAAAAAAAACATTATTAAGGAGAGTGAGAATATTAAAAGAACAAGAATTAAGAAGACAGAAGATAATGATTGGCATTGCATTTAAATTTTTGAATTAACTGGGAAGCAAGAAGCAAGAAGAGAGTTCCACAAGCAAGAAGTGCAAAAGAAAAAAAAATGTTTTTGGAGGTATTGAAATTAACAATCTATTCCTTACCCCAGTTAACAACAGAAAGTAGATCATTTTTTTAGATCAGCTGCCAATCTTAACATTTTTCATTTAAAGTTAATTTAATATGAAATTTTTATTCCTAAAAGCAAATACACTAATGATATACTTTTATTTATTTTCTCTAATCTGTATTTCTGTTGAATTTTTACCACAGTTCTTATACCATAATATAACTTTTTACACTGCAAAATTAAATAAAAAATGAAGATCTAGTGAGGGATTCACTTACATCATAGCAGCAGAAATTAGCCTCGTGTTCACTGAGATAAAAACATACTTGACAGGAAATGAAACATACACAAATAACAGGAATTGCATGGTAAATTGTATATTAATTTCATGCAATTTATTTATATTTTTGTGTGAATTAGTGTGTTTATTTTCTACGTTACAACTGTTTTATGGTACATGTGATAAAAGGGAGAAATTTACTCCATCGTATTACAAGCCATATCACAGTGAAATTGGACATGTGTTGCCCATAACAAGGTTTGTGGTGAAGAGACTGAATTTAATATCTTTTAGTGGGATGTCTGTATTTCCAGCAGGAACAATTTTTGTTGCATGCTGGGAGTATTTTTATTTTTTTGGTTTTAAACAAAATATTCTAATGTTAATATTTTATTTTATTTATAATTTTCATTATTATTTTATATTTTATTTTTATTTATAATAATAATAATAATATCCCTCCAATTTAAACTAGGCAATATGCTCTAGTGAAAAAAAAAATGTGTTATTTTACTTAATATAAAGAAATAATTTATTAATCAAAATTTTTTTAAG